AGATTTTTATGGGGATGGCATTAAATCTGTATATTGCTTTTGGCAGGATGGCCATTTTGATGACAACATGCTACTTTTTAAAGACCTCCCCCAAAGCATTAAGACCTGTAAGACTGGGCCCTCCCTGGTGGTGCAGTGGGTTAAAGCACAGCACTAAAAAGCTAAAGCCACTTCAGCATGAGTTTGATCCCTGCCCCGGAGGTTACCCATATGGTGCAGCAGACCTCTCCTGGCCCACCCGCTGCTTCCCTCAGCAGTGTACTTCGTCAGTCAGCCTGTTCTGCTCCCCACTCTGTTTTCAGTGAATCCTCTCACTGCTCCTGCACCTCTGGCCTATACCCCAGTTCTGTATGCATAAGTAAATAAATCTTAAAAAAAAAAAAGGACCTGTAAGACCAGTCAGATACAAGTAACAGCATCCTTCTTGAAGTAGCTTTAAAAATTGCTCTTTACTAAGTGTCAGGTACTGTTGAAAAACTTCATGTTATCTATCTCATTTCATTTTCATAATGGAGTAGGCACTATTATTATGACTATTTCATATATGTGTGTGTGTATATGTATGTGTGTCTTCAGTGTGCATATATACTGAATATATATGTATATATATACACATATGCTGAAACTAGATAAGGTTCAATAACAATATGGCATAACAAGTGACGAGACCTAGTTTGACTGTCATATTCACAGTTTAGAGTTTCTCTCACTCTCTTGTACACACATCCAAATTCCAGTTTCCTGAGGAAAAGAGTTTCACTGACTTTTGGTGTTTTTTTTTTTATGCATACAGAACTTGGGTACAGGTCAGAGGTGCCGGGGGGGGTGGTGGTGAGACAATTCACTAGAGATAGAGTGGGGAGCAGAACAGGCAGACTGAGGGGTACACTGCTGAGGGGAGCAGCGGGCAGTCAGGAGAAGTCTGCCACACCATGTGGGTCACCTGCACTGATTGAACTGATTGCACTGACTGAACTTGCACTGAAGCGGCTGTGGCTAGGTTGCAGCGCTGTGTCCTAACCCATTGCACCACCAGGGAGGGTCCTTGGTGTTTTAAGATTGATTTATTTATGCATACAAGAGCTGGGGTGCAGGCCAGAAGTGCAGGGGCTTGAGAGGATTCACCAGAGACAAAGTAGGGAGCAGAATAGGCAGACTTACTGAAATACATTTCTGAGAGGAGCAGAGGATGAGGCCGAAGAGGTCTGCTGCACAACGTGGGTCATCTCCCTGGCCAAGGATCAAACTCAAACTTGGGTTACAGCCTGATAGCGCTGCTGTCTTTAACCCCTGTGTCACCAGGGAGGCACCTGTTTTTGTTTTTGTTTTTAAAGAAGTACTCAGAAACAGCTGTATCCAGTGGTTAACACAAGATCAACAGTTTCTCTACATCTTTTAGCTCTAATCTTTTAAAGATTTATTTATTTATGCATACAAGAATTGGGGTACAGGCTAGAGGTATGGAGACGATTCACTAGAGACAGAGTGGGGACAGTACAGGCAGATCTACTGAAATACACTGCTGAGGGGAACAGAGGGCTGAGACAGGAGAGGTTTGCTGCTGAGCAATGTGGGTCACCTCCCTGGCCAGGGATCAAACTCATGATGCAATGATAGCTTTAATAGTGCTATGCTTTAACCCATTGCATCACCTATCTACCATTTTAGTTGCAAGATTATCTTCTACTACTCCATATGCTTACCTTTCAACCAATAGAAAGGTACTCCTTTCTCCTAACTTCAGATAAAGTCCCAAAATGGAAGCTCATTAGATCCCTTTGGGCCACTAGCCCTCCCTGACCACCAATCACTGTGTTCCAGAGAATCAAGTGCTTTGATTGACTAGTTTGGGGAGAACAGTAATAATGAAGTATATAACCACCCTACCCCCAGGCAAGTATCTAAGTGAGGGGAAACTCAGCCTAAAAGAATAGCTGTTAAGACTATACTATAATTACTTTCCAGATTGCTCAAAGAACCTAACACTCCTTGTGAAACAAAAGAGTATCAACGTGCAAGGAATCAAAAAATCCACCCATCCCCAGAAAAAAACTCACAAAGGATCTCTCCAGCTCCAGAGTGTGTATAATTTTGCAAACCCAGGATCATATTGTACATTCTGTTTGGCAGCTCTGCCTGGCACTGGGCAAACACTCAACAGTTAGTTATTAAGATTTTATTTATTCTTACCCGATTAGGAAGAGATCTTGGGCCCTCCCTGGTGGCGCAGCAGGTTAAAGCACAGCACCAAAAAGCTAAAGCCACTTCAGCATGAGTTCATCCCGCCCAGATGCGACCCATGTGGCGTAGCAGACCTCTCCTGACCCACTGGCTGCTCCCCTCAGCAGTGTACTTGTCTATCTGCCTGTTCTGCTCCCCACTCTGTCTCTGGTGAATCCTCTCACCACTCCTGCATTTCTGGCCTGAACCCCAGTTCTGTATGTATAATAAATAAATCTTAAAGAAAAAAAAGATTTTATTTATTCTTACCCGGAGTAGGAAGAGATGTTGATTAGTACGATAATATCAGCAGCGTACAATACATTTTTTGAATGTTTGCTTTGTGCAAGGTTGGAGTTCACAGATGAGAAGGTCGAAGCCCAGATAAGGTCAAGTCATTTGTCTAGGGTCACACAGCAAGAAAGTAGGTCTGTAGCCAAAACCATAGCTTTCAGTCCTCCCGGAGAGACAGTGTCCTGGAGGCCCCTGCCCCCTTCAGCCTGGCGGGCCTCCCTCTTATCTCAAACCAGGCTGCATGCTGGTCCCGCCCCCTCCAGGGAACTGCCACTCTAGGCGTCTTGCCGGGAAAGCCTGGTCAGCTGTGTCCGGCGGAGGCAGCTGCCGCTGACCCAGCTCTGGACTGTGCTAGAGGTGGAGGAGACGCGAGGAGCCCGGGGGTGGGGGTGGGAGGCAGGGCAGGGGGGGTTGGCAGAGCTATATCATGGACCACCTCAGCGCACCACTCTGGCCTGGAGTTAGCTCCCTCTGTCTACTGCTAGCTGGGGTCGCCTGGGCTTCTCCCACCATAACTCCGGACCCCAGGTTTGAAAGCAAAGGTAAGGATGGGTGTGTGTGTAGACTTCTGAATGGTTCTGGAGGGTAATGCTGGGTCTGAAATTGTAGCCTGAGTCCTGGGACAAAATCTGTTGCCTGAACCCCTAGACCTGGTCCTGGTGGGGCTTTCGATGGTGGGGTGGGAGCAAATAGGTGTTGTCTAAATCTCTAGACTGGGTCCTGGGGGAGGTAGATATATAAATTTTAATGGGATGGTGCTGGAACTAGGCTCTGAAGTGTGAGTCCCTGAGGAGAGGGGATCCAGTGAACTCTCCAGTTGGGAAAGTTAAAGCCCTGGTCTCAGTTAGAGGGGCTGGGCAGCAGGCGACTGTAAACACCGTTTGCGTGCGCGCGTCTGATCCCTTTTTCTGCCGGGTACAGGGAAGGGAGTGGGGACACGGTTGGCGCTATCAGGTAGCTGGGAGCCTGCAGGAGCTGATACCGGGCCCCGCCTCCTCCACACACCCTTCTACCGGAACGCGCGTCCGGGCTAGGGGAGGTGGGGGCGGGGAGCGGGCGGTGGAAGGCTGAGACCTTGAAAGCCGAGCGCGGTTCAGTCAACCGTGCGGTGGGCTGGCTCTGCAGTGCGGAGAGGTGAGGTAGTAAACTGCTCCTGGGAGTTTGGGAGCCCACACCTCTGCGGACCCATCCAAGGGGCCCGTTTGGATAGAGCAGGGCGGGACATTTTTCTTATCGGCCTTCCCAGGCAGCGGAAAGTAGTGGGGAGGGCTCTGAGGACTGAGGACAGGGCTCAGCTTCCTTGACACCCCTCTTTGTACCACACCCTCAGTGGCTCTGCTGGCGGCCCGCGGTCCCAAAGACTTTCTGTGCTTCTCTGAACGATTGGAAGACTTAGTGTGTTTTTGGGAGGAAGCGGCAAGCGTAGGGGTCGGCCCGCAGAACTACAGCTTCTCTTACCAACACGAGTGAGTCCGACCCGGCAGATGGAGCACCCCACAGGTGGAGGTGGAGGGGCAGTTTGGGACGTCTCATGGTGCCAGGAACCGGATGGCACCTCCCTTGGTTCCCTGGTGGGAAGGTCGCGGGGTCTCGGCTGACTCGCCCCCCTAGTGGCCAGGACTGGAACACTCCCGTGATCATCCCGAACTTCAGAGACAGGACAATACTCCTCCAAATCCCAGACCTACTTCAGAGCTGAAACGCCCTCTGGTGATAGTATCCAAAAGCGGGGCGGTACAAATTCCCTCGTCCCCACTACCAACTTCCTCCCGGTTCCTTGATTCACAGGGGTGAGCCACGGAAGCCCTGTCCCTTGCACCAGGCGCCCACGTCTCGCGGCCTGGTGCGTTTTTGGTGCTCGCTGCCTACGGCCGACACGTCGAGCTTCGTTCCCTTAGAGTTACGAGTCACAGCGGACTCCTCGGGCGCTCTACTCTATAGAAGAATAATCCACGTGAACGAAGTGGGTCAGTTCGCTGGGAACGGGAGAGTGGTGGGGGAGAGGGTCACGGCTTCCGCCCACCTCATCACCCCCTCTCTGCAGTGCTCTTGGATCCCCCCGCTGGACTGGTAGCGCGACAGGCCAACGACAGTGGCCACGTGGTACTGCGCTGGCTTCCTCCTCCAGGGGCACCCATGACGAGCCTTATCCGTTATGAGGTGAACATCTCTGCAGGCAGCTCTACAGGAGGAACTCAGAGGGTGAGGCTCCACGATCCACCCGGCCCAGCATCATTAGCTCCTCCCCAGGCAGTCACCACGGCCCCGCCCCCGTGGCTTGACCCCGCCAGACCCTGCTCCGACGCCCGAGCACCCAAGACAGCGCTAGGACCACCGTCTTGTCCTGTTACTGCCTCCCCCGCACATCTGCACCCAAGCCCTTTCATCCCTTGTTCCCAAACTCCCATCCCTTCCGCAGGGTTCCGCTTTCTTTAAGCTCTGACCCCGCCTACTGCGACCGGTGGTTGACTGCTCTGATTGGTCCTGAGTCTTTTCTGGGTACCGCCTCCTGCTTTCCTCTCTGCTCCCGCTACCTGCTGCTCACCGCAATGCTTGGGCACTGTCCTTCCTTTCTCAGGTTGGTTCTGTACTTCCAGAGTCCGCCCCCAAGTGTATTTCCCGCAAGTATACTTCTCCGCTTGTCCCCGTCTTACTGACCACTCCTCTCCCCGGCCTCCCCCCCCCGCCCCCCAGGTGGAGATCTCGGATGGGCGCACCGAGTGCGTGCTGAGCAATCTGCGCGGTGGGACGCACTACACCTTCACTGTACGCGCACGTATGGCTGAACCGAGCTTTGGTGGCTTCTGGAGCGCCTGGTCTGAGCCAGCGTGGCTGCTGACGACTAGTGGTGATGCCCGAGGCAGGGGTATATGAGGGCCTGGGGTGGAGCATGCCATAAGCCCACCACCCTGACTTTACCCTGTTCCCCAGACTTGGACCCCCTCATCCTGACGCTCTCTCTCATCCTCGTGCTCATACTGCTGCTGCTGGCCGTGCTCGCCCTGCTCTCCCACCGCCGGTGAGCGTCCCATTTCGACTCCTGGCTCAGACTCCTCCCCTCTAACGACCCCTTTCTCTGGGAGAATATAGGCTCAGAGACAAGCAGGCACTTTCCCGGTGTCACATAGTAAGGAGTCAGTGGCTGGACTGGATGCAAACTAGACCAGATCCAAACTTAGCTAAAATTCTGTGCTCTTGGGGACATTTTTGGTTCTTTCTACCCCAGTGGATGCCCCTTCTTGGATTATTTTGTTAGTTCCTTTCTCTATTTTCATTACCTGAGTAGTTCACCAGATGGGTTTAATGTGAAGAATTAACTCCTTGAGTGCCTCTCCTTGCCTTGTAGTTTAGTCTCTTAGAGCAGCCACCTTGAGTGTTTTGTGGTTCCAAGCAGTAGCATGTCGTTTCCCATCCCCGAGACCTGGCCCATGCTATTCCTTCTACCTGGAACACCATTTCTACCGTGTCCACCAAGTAATCTCCTTGTTGTTTTTCAAGGTCCCATTCGTTTACTTAGTTCAAAAATACATGTGTTATGCACTGGGGAGAAAATTAAGAACATAAGATATCCCTCACCTTGTGGATCTCATAGTTGTCAGACAACAAACAAAGGAACCAACAGATATATGATTCTAAGTTGTGATAAAATAAACAGGATATGGCAACATACAGGATGGTAGGGGAAGGCCCCTAGGAGGAGACTTCAAAGCAAAAGTCTGAAAGTTTAGTAGGAGGTAGCCATGTGACAAGTTGGGAAAAGAAACAGCAAGTGCAAAGGTTCTGAGGTGGGAATGAAACACTGAAGCAGTTGTAAGAAGAGCTGTCACAACTAGGGCAAAGTATGTGAAGAGGGACTGGTGAGTGATGATATCAGGGTGGTGACAGGGTCAGGTCTTGCATTATAAAACAGGTTTTATTAATGCATGGGAGAGCCGTGGAAAGGAGTGAGGAGGGAAGTAGCAAAATGAACTTCCAGGCACACCTGGGTCAGTCTAAAGGGAATATAAAGTCATATGTATCGAACTCTACATATTTTTCAAACCCTATTCTAGCCCCTGCCTCCCAAGGCCTCTGTCTCCATCACAATCACCAGATGCCAGAAATATCTGTGTCCCTGAGAATGCTATAGGAATATGTTGAGTGTTCAGTGACATAGTTTTGTTTCTTTTGGCTTCACAGGGCTCTGAAGCAGAAGATCTGGCCTGGCATCCCAAGCCCTGAGAATGAGTTTGAGGGTCTCTTTACCACCCACAAGGGTAACTTCCAGGTAGGTGGCCTGACTGTCCCCTCAGGACCTGGGATTTCTCTGTTCCTGTGGCCAAACCGCAGGTCTCTGAGTAGATTGGTGCTATTTTTCTAGCTGTGGCTGTACCAGAATGATGGATGTCTGTGGTGGAGCCCCTGCACCCCCTTCACAGAGGACCCACCTGCCCCCGTGGAAGTCCTCTCTGAGCGCTGCTGGAGTGTGACACAGACAGTGGAGCCTGGGGCAGATGATAAGGGGCCCCTGTTGGAGGCAGTAAGCAGTGAGCATGCCCAAGACTCCTACTTGGTGCTGGACAAGTGGTTGCTGCCTCGAAGTCCATCTAACGAGGACCTCCCAGGGCCTGGTGGCAGTTTGGACGTAGCAACCATGGATGAAGGCTCAGACACATCCTCTTGCTCATTCACCTTGGCCCTGAAGCCTGGACCAGAAGGGGTCTTGGCTGCCAGCTTTGAGTACACCATATTGGATCCTAGCTCTCAGCTCTTGCGTCCACGGGCACTGCCCCTTGAACTGCCCCCCACACCGCCCCACCTAAAGTACCTGTACCTCATGGTGTCTGACTCTGGCATTTCAACTGACTACAGTTCTCGTGGCTCCCAGGGAGCCCAGGGGAGCTCGTCCAATAACCCCTACTCCAACCCTTATGAGAACAGCCTCGTCTCAGCTCCTGAGCCTTCACCTCCCAACTACGTGGTATGTTCTTAGGACTCTAGACCTCCGATTCTTGATTCTTTAAGATCCAGATTGACTTCAAGTGCCAGTCCAGGCCAAAAACTTTCAGGCAGGTCTCCCTCAGGACCAGGGCACTGCTCACTTGACTGTGTGCCCAATCTATCCTGCTCCAGAAATTACTAGGCAATACTGCAAAATGTATGATCTTTTTTGTGTGCACACACACAGACACATATATATACTCTCACATAAGTCTATCATAGTTTCTACTTACATTCTGTAAACCCCATATTTCTCTGGGCCCAGGCTATAGTAATAGGCCTTGAGCTCAATGTGAAATTTTGGATCTGGCAATTTGAATAAAAGTAGGTATTCAGTATAAGTTACATCAGTTGCCATAATAAACAACTAATCTGAATGTCTTAACACATAAAATGGTTTCTCTCTCATACCTCCATTCAAATAGGTGGGTAGCCCTCCCTGGGATGAGTCAGAAACCCAGACTCTTCCAGACTATAGATTTCACTATGCCACAGGGCCATCCTGGAATCTTCAGATGGATCATCTATACCCTGTTAGTCAACAGGCAAAGAGAAAAGCAGAAGATTCTATGGACTATTTGGGGGATCTAGCTGAGAAGTGGCTGCCATCTTTTCACAAGTCCCAGGGAGAAGACAGTTATGTAAAGAGTCTCTGCAACTAATAACAATAATGATAACATTATTAATTCATAGGGCTCTAGTCTGTTAAGCCATGTTATAAGTGGTTCAATGGAAGTTCTGTTTTAATCACTTTTATTTACAATTTGATATATAACCTAGGAAAGCAGAACAACAATTATGTACTTTTTGCTCCAGCAATTCCACTTCTAGATGTATGTCCTAAAAACGTACACCCATGCGCAAGGATGTATGTGAAAGGATGTTCATAGCAGTAAAGAAGTAAATCTGATTAATAAATTGGGGTATAGTCACTCATGGAATTATATGAAGAAAAAGGAATGGTCTAAAAAATATGGCTAAATCTTAGTAACAATGTTGAGTGGCAAAAGGAAGTCTCAGATTAAATTTTTCATAAAGTTCATTTAATATAGTTACAAAGAGCAAAACTAAACAATATATTGCTTAGGCATAATATGTACACAATACTATTATTGAGTTTAAAATTCACTTTACATTCTTTAGGTCTTAGAGTGGGTACATGTCCCTGAGGTTAATTTCCAGCCTTGAGAAACAAGAGAGGTGGTCAAAAGCTCAAGATTGGCCTTCAGAACTTGAGCTCTTGTCTGAACTAGGATTACCAGTCTGGGTGGCACATGAAGTGATTGTCATCTCTCCATCTTGTTGGAAAGACATCCACCACTCTGCTCTAGGGCCCAGTTCTCTGGGCTCCAGGCAGATTCGAAGGCGGTGGGGACCTGGACCTGGTGCCTCCAGCTGTAGCCAGCACTGGGCAGGGAAATACCTCTGGAGCAACAACAGCTGCAGGGTATCACCACTGTTTCCTTCCTCCTGGGTCTGCAGGGTCACAATGAGCCCACAGCCCCGGCCTGGCCCAACCCGGTGGCTGAAGTGGGCAGCTGTGTCTAGAAGCAGGGCAGCCAGGTGGGCAGTTCCTTGAGTTCCCAGGTCTTCCATGAGGTACTTTTCCAGGCCATCCAGCAGCAGGAGTGAAGGGGCTGGCCCCGGGGTTTCATGAGCTGAGCACAGGAGACGAAGAAGCTCACGGGTTGAGCTTGGGTATTGAAAACGGATCTTCTAGAGGTAGGAAAAGAAAAAAGTTTCAGGAGAGAGAACTTTTAGGGGGAAAGAAAACCCTGAAGGAGCTCCAAGGTTTTGTAGCCTCCATCCCCGACTTCAGGCCAAAGCCATCCAGACAAGGGAAACTACAAATCCCATCATCACAGAAGGGAAGATTGCTGGGACTTGAGGGTGGAGTTAGCCAGCTAGGTTTGGTAAAAAACCAGACATGGGGGCCTTGGAGCTCTCTTGGTTTTTGACTCTTCTTGCTCCTGCTCCTCTTGGCTCTTGGCTTTCACTGGCTCCTAGCGTATCATTGGGATTGCAGGTTGGTGGAACTGGTAGGACACAGTACCAATTTTCCCCCTCTCTTTCTCCTGAAATATTAATTTCCTCATTTCCCATACTTTTGTAAATAAATCCTTTACCAACCTTTTTGTGTGTGCCTGCAGTTGAATATTATTATATAAGTCCCTTCAAGTGCACGGATGAGGACCCACAATCAGGCAACCCAAGGTTGCCTTGTAACAGAACCAGACTTCTAGCTATGGCAGCCCTGTTCCCTTGCATACTTTCCTGAAAGACGCTGGTTCCAGAGCATAGCGCTCAGAGTGGTCAAATATTATATTTGCCCCAACACACACTTTTTAAATCTATCGCCCTAATGTTAGATAAGAATAGACAAACTGGAAAGAATGCCACAGGTCAGGAATCTGTTTCATACAAGGAGATGGAGGTAAAAGAGATTAACACAGACATTAATCCAGCTATCAGACTCTGTAGGGAGTGTCAGGAGCACAGACCTGAAGGTGAAGGTATGGGAATTAAGGGACAAAACATCCACCCTCAGAGATGAGGCCCCCAACCCCCATCCAGTCCTTCTCCCCACAGAGGGGCAGCAGTCTTTCTACCCACCTCTGACTATTCAGGTGCTTCTTTCCACCCATTCTCTCCCTCCGCAGGGCAGCAGCTTCCTGCCTGCCCAAGCTAATCTCCCTCAGCAGAGGCAACTCTCCTCAAGGCCCCCAGCGTGCAACCATGCAAGCCGCACTCAGCAAACCTGCCCCTTTTTCAGCGCAGCTCTTCCTGTCCGCTGGTGTCTATGCAAGTGTCTTTTACTCTTCTGTCCTAATAAACCTGCTCTTCAAATATAACTAACATCTTTGTGTAGTGGAGAAACTCGCCTGGGAAACTCGCCACCGGCAGCAGAAAGGGGAGCTCTGGTGAAACCTTTAATAGAGTAAACCTAAGGACCCCGCTCTTAACTTATCTCCAAAAACTACATGATCCCCATATTAAATGAGAACAAGGTGTGTCTTTCTGCCAAATCTCTAGGGCAGTCTTGCAACGGAAAACCCGCCCCTGGCGGTCCTCCGTCTCGAACCATTTTCACCCAACACTCCGGCTTCACTGGAAGCAACGAGAATCCAAGAGAGGGCCCAAGGTTAGTACTTTACTCGCCCCAGACCCTGGCCTTAGGGCATCGCCTTTCGCTAACTCCACCACTGGAAGGACTCTTAATTAGCCTCGCTGGGTGTGCCTCTCCCATACTCTTCATTTTGTCTCAGGATGGCGGCTCAGGCGCATCCTTCTGCCTCCTCGCTATTGGGCTGTGTATTTGTCACTCAATTCTTGACTCGCCCAACACAGGCTGACCCGCCTCCGGTCTCGCTTCTCCGTTACCTGCAGCCGCAAGGGATCTAGCCCGGCCCGGGTTCCGCGGGGCAGGCTTTGCAGAGGCACCCGGGTCAAGAAGAGGACGGAGCCTCGGTCCTCCCCCGCCACCTCCAGAGCCGCTGCCAAGAGCAGCGCTGTCTTTCCAGAGCCTGGACCTCCGAGCAGCAGCAAAGGTGGCCCGATCTCAGCAGCGTTCTCCTGCTGGGGCCCAGCCGGGCGGCCCCAGTTAAGCGCCCGCCTCAGGATCTCCGCCATTCGCAACGTGCCTTGGTCCAATCGGCGGCCTTAATCCTGCCCAAGCCGAATCCGCATTGGTTACGGCACACTTAGCTTCTCCATTGGTCCACGTTCCTGTCCATCAAGGTTAGACCGGCCTTTGCTAGCTCCTCCCCCGGTGAAGGGGCGAATATACTTTGAAGGAGAAATATGGGTATTAGAGAGAAATAAGACCCTTTCCTGGGTGAGTTGGCAGGGGGAGACAACACAAATGCTGTTATTGTGAGTTAATCCTCTAGACAGAACACTGAGTGTTGGAGGGAGCAAGCCCAAAACCCTGACATAAAATCCTAGCTTCGGGTTGCTCACCTGGAAAATGAGTATTGTGTTAGCTTCTCTCGTGTATGTTTCTGTTGATGTCACCCAGTGACAACTGAGAAGTGGAAAGATGGATGAACTGTGTCTTTGCCTTTCTGTATCTGAGTACTGGCACGTCAGCAGATATCTCTGAGGGCTTTTGAGGAGTTTCAACTGACCAGGGGGCGTCTTGGGTACAGGGGAAGGCATGGCACCGACAGACAGCGATAGGGGTTGGGAAGCTGAAGGAACATTATTGCGGGGATCTTGTCTGTGTTCACTTCTGTATCTCCCGTGCCCCCGATGGTGACCGCCTCATAGGCTCTCAATCTAGGTCCCTAAATGAATGAAAAAATGAAGGTAGAGTTAATGAGAAACTGGGAGAGAAGGTGGAATTAGGTTAGTGATGGGGGCTGGTCTCCTTACCCAGGCTTTGCCCCAGAGCTGCCACTCATGCTCCTGTTGCCCTGGCAACTCGATTTCCTGGTAACTTCAAAGTGTGCTGTTGCCAGGAGACCTGGGGGCAGGGCAGAACAGACTTCCTGGGCTCCCTCTCTTCCTCTGGGACCAGAACACAGATCCACAACATCCCCCAATACACCCACTCACACAGCTGGCTACCCCCACATGCTACACACACACACCATGACATCACTATATATATTCTACTTCCAAAATCCCCCTCACTCACATGCTCACAGCCTTATCTTGATATAAAGCATCCTATTCATCTCTTTCCTAAATTTGCTCTCATACCCTTTCCCCTGTACAAACCACACTGATATAACCATACCATTGCTATGCACACACATGCCAAACACCCCACTTCAACTCCACAAAGGATATACAACCCATGAATCACCTCACATTGCAACACTCCAAAAGTATAGGCACCCAGTAGTGACACTTGTACCACAGACTCTCAAACAGTTAAATACACAGGAACATGTGAACACTGCCCACTACAGGTCTGGCACTCCTTTTTTTCTTGCCTAGAACACTCAGCTCACAGATATCCCTGTGGCTCATTTCCTCACACCATTCAGGTCTCTGCCCAGATATTACTCAGAGAGGCTTTCCCTGACCATCTGTGTAAAATCACACACCCTTCACTCTTTAACTGTTTATTCATCTTTATTTCTATTTAAATAACATGTATTCATCTTTTTCTATTTAAATAACTTAACATTTTCAATGTTATGTATTTTATTGCCTCTCTCTCACCTAGAATGTCAGTTTCACTGAGATAGGGTCTGTTTTTTTTTTTCACTGCTGGGTCTTGAGTGCCTAGAACAGGAGCCGGTACAAGAAGGTACTCATAAATATAGGCTGAGTGAGAGTATTGGTAGAGATGTGGATGTTTTGCAGATCTCTCACACATACAGTACTTCTCTCAGTTCTCAGATTCCCATCTTAATATTCTGACAGGACACTTACCTCCTTGGGAGGTTGAGGGCTGATGGGTAAGGGGGTGGGGAATAGATGGTTCAGTCCATCTTTCTACCTGAAATGACTAGTTCACCATCTGTAATTGATTAGTTCTTTTCATTAGCAAACATTTCTTGAGCACTTACTATGTGTCAGGTCCTATTTTAGGCACTGGGGATTCAGCATTTTGAACTATTAAAATGGAGATAACAAAGTCTTGGGACCCTCCCTAGTGGGGACAGGGGTTAAAGTGCAGCATTATGAAGCTGTCTGCAACCACTGCAGCATGAATTCAATCCCAGGCCGGGGAGTGACCCACATGGCATGGCAAATCTACTGCTTCCCTCAGCAGTGTATTTCAGTCAATCTACCTGTTCTGCTCCCCACTCTGTCTCTGGTGAATCCTCTCATCCCCTGTACCCCAGTTTGACCTATTCCCCCAGTTCTTGTATGTATAAATAAATCCAAAAAATAAAAAAGGTTTCAGTCCTGGTCGAACTGACATTCTAGCAAACGAGATGACAGCTAAACATAAACAAGAGTAAGTAGTCTATGAGCAGAAAAAGGTGTGCACACAAAAATGTTTGAATAAGCAAAGGAAGCTGAAGTGTCAGTTCGTGTCCTTTTGCAATTTTGAATAGGGCAGTAGAGACGGATCTTTGAGAAAGTGATTTGAAAAAGGTTTTGTAACTAGGGAAGGAGTGAACCTCTGTGATAATATACACAATGCAGATGTGGGGGGAAATTAACATTTCAGGTGGAGGCACTTGCAAGTTACAAAGGCCCTGAGGCATAGAGAGAACTTTGACTTTTACTAACAGTGCCATGGGGAGCCGTGAGAGGTTTGAAGAAGAGGACCATGGTCTGCCATACATTCTAAACTGGAGCTCTGCTTTGGTCAAGTTGAGAGCAACATTGAAAAGGTTTTTTTGAATAAGTAAAGTGCACCTTAATCTGAGTTTTCTGCCAAGATTATTCATCCTGAGATGGGGGTATGGGCAAGACTAGGTAGGGCTCATATCATCAGCCTCTCTAGCAGGCCCAGACACTCCTTCCTACTCTATAGCTCCCCCTTTACCCTTTCTGGGCTGGAACCATGGACAGCACAAAGCAGGTGGTGGTCAAGGTGCTGTCCACTGTGCTGAAATTATGCTTCTTTCCTAGCCTGTGCGGAGGCACTTGTGCCACCCACCAGCTAGAAGGTGCCATAGGTACCAGAGTTTCAGCCCTGGGAACAGATGCTCTGGTCAGTGAATCAGAGATCTCCATGATTCTGTCCCTCCGCTGCCTTCAGCCTCTCATGATCCCATTTCATATCCCATGACCCACAATCACATTGATCACTCCACTCACAGGTCTCCTCATTATTCCCTGCACACAGCAGGCATGCTCCTTTCTCAAGACTTTCATGCTGGAAACAGTTCTTGCCTCACCCCTGATGTTTTCATGGCTTCCTCTCTCCCTACTTAGACCTTATCTACAGAGCCATCTACTTACAGAAAATTTTCCTGACCACCCTCTGTAAAGTGCAAACCGTGTCCTCATTCCACAGCTGTCCCATTGTTTCCTCTAGCCAGCCTTCTTATCAGTGATCAATATTTAACAGCTTATGGGCTTTCTTGGTGGTACAAGGGGTTAAAAAACAGCACTATGAAGCTATCTACGGCCACTGTAGTTCAATCCCCAGCCAGGGAGCTACCCACATGGCACAGCAGGCCTCTCCTGTCTCTCCTGCTGCTCTCCTCAGCAGAATATTTCAGTAGACCCACCTCTTTTGTTCCCCACTCTGTCTCTGGTGCCTCCTCACCCCTTCCCCTCTGGCCTGTACCCAGTTCTTGTATGCATAAATATATCTTTAAAACTATTTAACATATCAGAGTCCTTATCCTTGCCCTAAATACTTGATCCTAAAATTCAAAATTTTTTATTTTTTCAAAAAGCATAATGGAATAAAAATTACTTACTGTATAACAACCATAATGGGACCTGGAATAACATCTCAAAATAAAATGCCTTATCTTCTGTGGTACATAAACACAATGGAATATTACTCAGCAACCAAAAAAAGAAACACATGTCTTTTGCAGCAACTTGGATGGAGCTGGAAAAGATCATGCTTAGTGAGATAAGCCAGAAAGAGAAAGAAAAATACTGATGGTTTCACTCATAGCAGGAGTATAATGGACCAGGCGAGAAAATAATAATAATAATGAACAGCCATATACCAGAGACATTTTGTGGGGGTGGAGCGGGGAATGGGATAAAAAAATGGGGAGGGGGCAGAGGAGGAGGGAAGTGCAGGGGACAATGGTGATGGCACAGGGTGACTTGGTGATGGGAAACCCAAGGGGATTACAATTGAGATGAAAAAAAAATTTACAAAATGATGTAAAAATAAACTATTACATTATGAATAAAATAAAATGCCTTATCTTCAATGAAATATAAGAATATATTCATTGAGTGAAATAAAAACTATATATGTCATGTCATTTCAGGTCAGGTTTTGCTACAGTGAGTTATAAAAAAAAGTTCAGTTTTCAGACCTTTCTCAAATCATTAATTGTAGCTCTGTGTATAGCTTATTTATCTTGTTTATTGTCTGTCTCATATATTAGAATGTAAGCTTCACAGGGGCAGAAATCTGATTGTTCTGTTCACTGCTTCAGCCCCTGTGCCTAACTAAACAGGTTCTGGGCTCACAATCAGTGCTCCATAGTGTTTGTTGAATGAATGAAGGATAAAGAAATAGACTATGCTTTTTTGCTTCTTGGACAACTGTGTGCCCCAGTGACCTGTCTGAAGCCCCCTCAGAGCCACAGTGGTTGTGATTGGGTGTGGCTTCCCAATCCTCCTACCTTATCTGGTTTCTATTAGGTCTTCAGTGGTCTGGACACAACACACTCTCACAATCACAAATCCTGCTCTCATTCAAGCAATCGTGGGTTATTTTAGTGTTCTCAGTATCCTCTTTTGCCTTTATCCTGTTCTTTGTTGCCTGGCAGTAGTCAGAAACAGGCTAGATGCCCAGAGTAAACAGTCACATGAGGCCCTTATATATTTCTTAGATGGAACTTGTGGGTCTGTCCTCATTTGATGATGAACATACAAGGGCATGGAAAGGTTAATCAACTTCCCTGAGGCCACACAGCCAGGAGATGTTGAACCAGTATTTAAGTCCAAACTACTAGACCCACAACCCCACACTGTCTCTCCACAATCACCTTCAGACACACTGTGATTCGTGATTGAAGTCTCACACACAATACCACCAGGGGGAGGGAGGCTGGTGGCCAAACTTCTGTTACAAACAGGTCTTTATTAAAGATGAGGAGGGGCAAGGAAGGAGGGCAGTGTCTCCTCTGTCCACTGCCTTTGGCTGCCCAGGATGGGAGAGCCCTCTTTGCCCCACCCATGCTCCCCATGATGGAACATCTGCATGAGGCTGAGGCATGGGGGGCCAGTGTTAAGAACAGGGGTGGGTTCCAAGAAAAATGTCCTTTCACAGCCCTCATAAATAAGGATTTGGTTTAACCGGGGCACAGGCAAGGGGAGACAGCACCCTGGACCCCAAAACCTATAAACTGGGGCAAATCCTGCATAAGCAGGGATTAAGGAGTTAAGGTTGTACATAGGGGAGGGGCTGAGAAGCATAGGGGGATCTATAATGACCCTTCCACAGGGGAACCTACACCCCCACTTTAGCTAGACTCTGAATATGAGGAGAGAGGACCTACTGACATAGGATAACCCGATTTCCCTCCCTTCTTCTGCATATGCCTAGACATGGGTGGTCCCCCATTGACTGGAATCATACCCACCCACCCTAGAAATTCTGAAAACCAAGGCGCCTGTTGGCTATTCAACACTAAATACTGGCTGAAGTTGCCCACTTGTCTGAGGGTCCTAGGAAGTGAGGGGAAACATTGGTTGGCTAGAGTAAACTCCTCTGGTCAGAATTCTGAGAAATGGGGTCTTCTGTTGGCTGGCCAATGACCGATGGGGTCAAGATATGGCCCTTAAAAGGGAACTCCTGGGGCAACGGTCCATCTCCCAGTTATACCCATTTGGATGTCCCAGAGGACAAGTGAGGCAGGGTGTGCTCCATGTCCTTTCAGCCATCTTCTGATCTTGGAGCCTGGCTGGTTTGGGGACAGGGAGCTTTGGCACTCACGTGGCATGTGCACACACATGTGTGGTAGGGAAGAAATGGGGACAGGGCAGGTTCTGGGTGGGGGGGGTAGGCTTCACAGCAGGTGGTCACGACTGGCAAACAGGTAAGGGCTGAAGTTGTCCCGGTGGAATGGAGAGGGGTAGAGTCCACTAAGGGTGTATAGGTCCCGCAGCAGTGGCGTGGGCAGCAGCAACTTCCGGCCACGTCCACTGCCTCCCCCGCCCGGCCCCCCAGGTCCAGGGGAGGAGGGCGAGGGGCCCTGACTGGGGGTTGGTGCAGGCAGGGGCACAGGCAGTGGCAGGGGCGTCGGCTCAGACCTCAGTCGAGGGCGGGGCACACGGGGTGATGAACACATGGCTGGAGCCCTGGAGGACACGCAGCTGGGAATCAGGTGGCCACGGCGGGCGCAGTTCTGCGGCTCTGGGGGTTAAGGATCAGAGGTCAGGTGATGAGAATGTTTGGGAGGAGGCCATGACAGCATAGACCTCTACGGCAGTTACCGCCATCTAGAAACCCCCCTATTTGTCCCCCCACACCCTCAACACTCACTGGATGGGGTGAGCCGTGCCGGTGTCGAATGCGGCCTGCAGGCCTCGGGTTCCTGAGACAAAAAGGTAGAAGGAAGGGGCTAGCGGCCCCCCAGGCCCCACTGACCGTAGCCACGAGAGACTCATCAGGTAGAGAGCCCGATGGAAAAGACAACCAGAGTTCTCAAGTATAACCACATACCCATGACAGGAAGAGAAGAAGCTAACCTTTATATTCTGTAGGACTGTCCCCCCAGGACCTGGGGCCATAGAGACCAGCAATTGCACCCATTGCCCAGAGCCCCCCACCTGTCGTCTGACTTTCTGCCTCCTTGGAACCCCTCCACCCACCACCCTCTCCAGCCGGGAGTGGCCCCCGGCCCCCCTTACCTGGGCCACACTTAACTTTTCGAGGGGGTTATCCATGGCGGGGGTTTGGCCCAGATCCTCCCAGGTGGGGAGCCTTCGACCAGAAGGTGGCCGACTCTGGAAGTTGTGAACAACACAGGTAACCTAGGATAGGGTGAAAGAACTGTGTTAAGGCCCAAGGCCAATAAAGTAGGAGTTGAGTAAATATCATCCCTGTCATTTAGATAAGAAAACTGAGGTTTAGGTTTTAAAAACAGCTTAATTTTTATGGTGTTCACGATGTGCCAAGCTTTGTACTTTCCACTTTACCAAGGGGTAAGGATTATTATTAGTTATTACACAGAGTGGTGCTAGGAAGAGGCAGATTAAGCTGAGTTGTACTAGTACAGGATCTGATTCTGACTTTCAACATTTTACTCTTTGTATACCATGGGTCTTTTAAATTAATTTTGGGTTTTTGTTTGGTTGGTTGGTTCTGTATAGTATTAAGTTTGACTTTAAAAAATATTACTGAGCACCCTCCCTTGTGGCATGGTGGGTTAAAGTGCAGCACTATGAAGCTATCCACAGCCACTGCAGAACAAGTTCAATTCCCGGCCAGGGGGGTGACCCACATGGCAGCAGACCTAACCTGTCTCACCCACTGCTCCCCTCAGCTATGTATTTTCAGCCAATCTGCCTGTTCTGCTCCCCACTCTGTCTCATCCCCCCCTCAACTGGCCTGTACTCCAGTTCTTGTATGCATAAATAAATAAATCTTTAAAAATATATACATTACTGAATGTTATATACTCATAGCACATGGCTTACCCTGGTCCTGTTATCCCATTTCACTGATAAGGACATCAAGACAGGGTAGGGTTAAGGAACTTAGCCCTAAGTCACAGAAAACCCACCTTTCAGTATGGTGTGGTCCCAACTTTTGGGCTTACCAGAAAGGTTGCGATGGCCGACCCAGTCAGGAAACCAGCCAGCACGTCTGACCAGTGATTCCGATACTCAGCCACTCGGACCACACCCACCAGGAAGGCAGGGCACAGCAGGGCCAGGCAGAGTGATGGTTTGACCAGACGGGAACCCTTCACCCGGAATACGAGTGTCACGTACATCTGAGGGAGTCAGACTTGTCAGGCACACATGGCAGTGCAGTTGCTGAACTCGAGTATGCAGTGTTCTGGGATGGGAAGTGTTTAGAATTCTCAGGAGTTGAATTGCGGATGGAGGCTGTGGCCAGGGGTTCCAAGGAAAGTAACTAGGTGGGTGGTAAACAGGTGGAGTTGGCGGTGAATTTCAGGGGTGAAATGATGGAGTCAAGGTGGGTCCTTGATTGTGGGAGCATGACCATGGCAGCAAAGAGCCAGATATGGGTCTGAGCCCATATCTCTGGGGACCAGTCTCAAAAGGGGAAAGATGCTTGCTCCATTAATGTCTGGCCACAGAAGCAGAGGGTGTGGAGTGGAGGCCCAAGGGGCAGGTTGAGGAGCTCCAGGAGGTGGAGGAGTTCAAACACTAAGAGACCAGGCAGGTTTAGAAGCTAGCTCAAGAAGCTAGAAAAAGGAGTCAAAACTACATGCAGAAGCAGGCAACAAAATCAGAAGTCAAGTGAGGAGCGAGGCTAGATCAAAAATGGGGCAAGATCAAATGGGAATGGCCATGGATCCTCCCAGCCAACACAGGACCTGGGGACAAGCAGGACTAGGCTCCAGGGGAGAAAGTCAGGTGCTCCAGTGACAACAGCATGCTTCCACAGGGCAGAAGCAAAGTTTCCTGAGGGCTTGGTACTACAGGGGTCAGATACCAAGGGTACAGTCAAAACCAGCAGAGGACAGAGACTCCAGGGGGCACAACCAGAATTACAGGGAAAGGGTCGGAGTCCCCAGTGTTACAGTCCGCACTGAGGGCAGTGTTACAGCACTGGGCGTGGTCTCACCAGAGTAGGAACCGGAGGCAGCAGTTGCTCAGGCAGGCTGCAGCCCACTGGCAGCCCCCCATTACCCGGCTCCCACATGGGGCTCACCGCTGTGTAGGTAACTGCGTAGGCACAAAGGGCCGCATCCTTGCAGGGGAAGGCTCGGCGCGCAGCGGCCACCAGGCTGGGGCTGCCGGCGCAGGCACCCTGATCAGTAACGAAGTGGTCGGGACCCAGTCGTTCAGGTGTGGGTGGCAGGCAACCCAGTGCCGTGTAGTTGGGGCGGCACACAGACAGGAAGTGTGGCGTGGGGTTGCCGGTCACCACCTGCCCAGCATTGGCGAAGATGGTCGTAGTGAAGAGGCCAAAGGAGTAGACCCCTGCCAGGCGGATGGGAGAAGGCGATGATACCCAGAGTTCTCATGCCCCATGTGGCCTTCCTCCTGTCAGTCTCCTTGTGGCTCATCTGGGTCCCCTGTCTCACTTTCCTGGGACTGCCACTGATGCAAACCTTGACTCCCCCTACCGTTGTGCCCCATTACAGTTGCACCAAGGTCCTGCTCCCTTGGGATATACTTTTATGCCTCTTGCTCCTGGGACACTCCATACAGCTGACCTCCTGGGATTATCACTGTCAGGAGTGGACCATCCTCAGAACTCCTTTCTAGCGAGGCTGAGACCACTCTACAACTTTGTGTCAGGATTGAGTCCATATCCAGGACCTCCTCAGGCCACTCTGATGGCACTCCAGAGCCTGTCTCTCTGTGGCCTAGACTTGAGATTCATGAGTTGATCACTTTCCCCTGGGTAATTAATCAGGTGAAGCTGGATCTCCAATCCAGTGTCCCAGGAACCACCATGACACATGAGCTTGCACCCTCCCCTGCCCTATGGCCAACCAATTGTGTCAGGATCTCACCTCTCTGCCCTAGTTTCCCCTGGTGTTTGGCTTGAGCCTGTGTCCCCTTTCTCTTCCTTAACCTCTCCTAAGGGCATTTTTGTGTCCTTCTCTTATAGTTGCCATCATGGTTGGCTCAGGTCCCACCCATGTCCTTAACCTTCTTGGGCCTGAGACCAAGACCTTCTTTGCCCCTTGGAGTCACCATCATGACAGTTCAAGGCCTTCTTCCCCTTGGAAGGTTTATCAGGGTTGAGCCTGGCCCATATCCCTTTGCATAGCTGACCCCTGGGGCAGCATCACTCACCTAGGAAGCGAACTAGCCTCCGGAGTGGGGGACTGAAGCGGCAGCAGGCCCCAGACACGATAGTGCTCTCCCGGATAATAGGGATGGCTGAGGGTGGTGCAGGGAAAAAGGCACGCGCCAGCTCGGCCAGCAGAATCTGAGGGCAAGACCAAGGCAGGGTCTTCCTGGCCTTCCAGCCCAGCCCTCTGCCCACCTCCTTGGCCCTTCTGCCTTCTGGGAGGTCCTCCCACCTTCTGACCAGTGCTCCCTTCAGTCTCACCGTGAGGGTAGGTCCAGCAGTGACCAGGGCATAGATGAGTGCAGGAGGTGCTCGGCTGGCAGCCTCAGGTCCAGGGTAGGGTTTGGCGTAGGTGCTGTCATAGCAGAAGAATCCTTGGGTGTGCACCGGGAAGGTGTCTGTGAACTCCAGGCGGTAAGCAAGCAGAACTACAACTCCCAGCAGCACTGACTGCCACCCAGTCACAGTGGAAAGAGAGAGATATATAAAGAAAAGAGAGGTCAGTGCCTAGCTGGGAAGCAGAGACACAGAGATGGAGCTGGACAGAGGAAAGGAGCGAGACACACTAAGAGAGATCAAGACTGAGGGTGATAAACAGTGACAGAGAGATGTGGAGGAGGAGAGGGAGAAGGGTCAGGACCTGGGGGAACAGAGAGACATGGAGAAAAGAGATGGAGATAGAAACAGAAAATAAGAGAGGAGCTGGAGAAGAGACAAAGAAAGAAAAGGGCATCAAATAGAATCCAAAGAGAAGAGAGGACTGGGGAGAGGGAGTGAGGACAGGACTAGGGATTGTTCTAGTGAGAGACAGACAGTGGCTAGTGGAGGGACAGACCAACAGGCAGGGGATTAATACTACTGGTAGAAATACTAGCAGCTACAAGAAGTGTAACCCTGTGGGCGGGGTCCTAATAAATCCCTTTGATGAATTAATACATTTTACCTTCATAACAGACCTAAGTGAGAGGCACTCTAATAATACCCATATGACAGATGAGAAAACAGAAGCTGGAGGGGGTGTATGGGAGTGTCCCAAGTCCTGCAGTAAGGATGGGCAGAGCGGGACTGGATCGCAGGGAGTGCCACTTCTGATTCCAAGTGCCTAAGCACCTCAATAGGAAAGGAACCACACTTTTACTCCCCAGAGAGCTGTGCAGTAGGAGATGAAGGTGTATGGGTGGGAGTGAGGGAGATGGAAAATGGGTACAGGTGGGGACCTGGCAAAGATATGGGAGACAGGAAGACAGGTGCACTCCCTCCTAGCCAAGGGTCTGGGGAGGCAGGTACAGGCTCCTCACCTCCACAAATACAAAGCAGGGAATAATGGAGAAGCTCCTCTTCAGCTGAGGTCCCCCTCCCGCCATGGTGAAGGCCAGGCCTGTAGAGGTGGGAAGGAAGTAGGGCCGCCAGGGCCAGGGCCGGGCCTGGGAAAGTCACCAGCAAGAGTGAAGTTCTCTGACCCCACCCTTGGGCCCACAGACAAGGTTTGTAAGCCTTGGCTCCGCCTCCTGAGCCTTTCAGCCACACCTCTGCAAATCCAAGTCCTGCCTCCCCTTGGTCTCTGATTTGTTCAATAGAAAAAGGGCCTTCCCTGACCCAACCCATTTGCTTCAGGTGCTGAAAGGGACCCCTGAGATTCTTCTATAGAAGTCTCCCCTCACAGCCTAATAGGAGACTGCAGGCTCATGCCTTTTTGGAGGACCTCTCTAAATGAGCGGGAGCCCCTGCTTTCAGACTTTAGAAGAGACTTCGCCTTAATGGGAACTCCTTCCCCATAGGATTTAAAAGGGTCCTCAATACTATCACTTTTTAGGGAACCCCATCCTCCTTCCCATCATACCTTATAGAGGAGACCTCGTGCTCTCTGTCACCACCTCTCTCTCCAGTCCCTTTGGGCAGTGCCTGGCTGGTGTGGGCTACTGGCTAGACACTCCTTTTCTCCCAGTTGCCTCTCTCTCTCTCTCCCACCCCCCTACCCCCCCAGTCTGTCTCCCAGTATCAGGAGGGGATTATGAGCTCCACTCCCACATATTCCTTCCTTCTCCCAATTAAACCTCAGTACTACAGAGGCCAACACAGTCATGCCTGCTTGACCCAATCTCCCAGCCTCACCTCACCTGCAGAAAGGCCCTATGGTTTCCCACGGGTGGCTGCAAGGCCCACAGACTCACAGCTGCTCCTGATGGCCAGCAGGGCAGGGATGGTCACCCCCATGGCACAGGTGTGGAAATTGAGGCCTAGGGAGATGAGGGAAGGCACTCTGGGTCCAGTGCCCCATCCACATAACTTGCTCTGTGGTGTGACATGGAAAGAGTTGCTAGAGATGCCACATGCCCAACTTCCACAGTTCCCTCACTTTCCAGAGACACAATCACCCACTCTGGCACCCCCAGAATATACAATACAGCCAGAGCCTCCACCCCAACCACCACACACATACCCACACACCATGGCACAGCATTTGTCCGTCCCACCAACATGGACCAAGTGTCTGTTGGGACTGAGCTGGGTGCCAGCCTTGTGATGAAAGAGATAGGATTGTTCATTCAGACAGGTGCCCAACACCCACCATATATATAACTGCACACACACACACAGTACAGTACCACATGGCCTGCCACAGACACCCACACAAATCAAACAATTCCTGTGACACACACAGTCACAGCAACACACTGGAGGACCTCCACATACCTCACAGTCCCACACAAGCCCTTTTCCTATCACTGTCGGGGATGTATGCTGAGGGCTGCCAACACATTTAAGAATCACATCTATAAGAGTCAACACAGTGGGGGTCACAGAACTGGTCACAGCATCACACCCCCAATTACAAGATACTCTATGACAGTCACACACATTAGCAGCCTCTTATCCACATTACCATAGGAGAGACACAGTGCCATTCACAACCACAGCCACATGGCCCTGCACAAACACATACATGGCCCATGACACAAACTCACACACAGAGCCACACAAAACAGGGTCACGATCATAACCACACAAAACCGCCCCTCACACGCCATCAGAAGGAACATACAATAGCAGTCACATAACGACAGTCATATGCACACAATCACACAACCATCAGGACAGTCACAATGTCACAGTGATAGCAGTCACAACAGCTACCACATACACACCATCAGAATGATAAGCACGACAGCTACACAGAGACAACCACGGCAGATACAGTCTCTCTCTCTCTCTCTCTCTCTCTCTCACACACACACACACACACACACACACACACCACTGACACCCCCCCCAAGCCATAAAACCAGCCATACAAAATGACAGTTATACAAGCACACACTGACACATCATAACGATGAACAATCACAGTCACCCTCACCACCGCTTGGCTTCTTGAGCCTGGGGCTCCCTCTTCACCCTCCCTTCCCCCAGTCCAGTTCCGAAGCCCCAGCTTGTCACCTCCCCTCCCCCTCCTGCTGCTGGACCCACTGGGGACCCGACTTGCCAGAATCGAACCCCAGCGGGACAGATAGACTGAGGGTCTGAAGCCCACAGGAGGAAGTGCCGGGGATATCCCAAAGCCCTCCCCTCACCGAGTCGAGGATGCTGCCGCCTGAGTCCCCGATCAGCCTAAAAAACCCTCGCGCGGGGAGACCGTCAGACTGCTGGGCCCAGCTCGGCAGACGCAGGAATGGAGACTCCGCCGACCTGGCAAGGCAGCCGGGCGCAGACTCCTCGAGACACAGAGCGAGGGGCGGGGCCTCAAGATCCTCATTTGCATAAGACAGTGGGGCGGGGCCTCGGTTGCTATTGGGGGTGGAGCGTGTTAGAATAGATTCAGAAGGGAATGGAAGCTGGGGGTTCAGTGGAAGAACCTGCGGGAGGGGGTGCTTAAGGAAACAGATGCGCTGGGTGCCTGGCATGATCCAGAGTCACAACCTCTCGGGTTCCCTATTTGGGCAGTAGAAGCAGCAGGCCAGATGGCCACAGCCCTCCCAAGAAAGAAGGCTGGCAGCCAGTATTGAAGAGCCTCTCTGACCACTCGTATCTGCAGACATTCCTGTGAGTTTGTCTGTCTCACAATATCCCCTTTAGTCCACCCATCCCAAACAGCCCCAGGGGTCTCTGCAGCCTTCCCAGTACAGAGAAGTAAGTTGTGGGGGGAAGGCATTTCCATGCACATGCAGAGCAGCAGCAACAGTCTACAAGTGAAGGAGGGTCTTGGCTAGTTTATTTTTTCTCTGGAGGGCTCTTCGGGGAGAGCAGTCCCGGCTGCTCAGGCTGTGGAAAGAGAGGGTGACTGGTCAGGGCTTGGCCTGGGTCCAGGAAACCTCAGGGTTAGAGGTCAGCAAGCAGATGCCTAGTTTGGGAGCTGGGAGGGTTCATACTGTGGGATTCCAGGGCAGGCCAGGAGGAAGGGGTGGATGGGGCAGGGGAATATCCACACCAAGTGGGAAGGAGCGGTTCTTGCTGAATGGTGCCTGGGAAGGGTCCTGGTCTGAGTCTGAGTCCGAGTCCCAGGATGGGAGTAGAGAGCTCAAGCACTGGTGCCCCTTGTAGCCTGCAAGAGGGAGAGATACCTCTGGCCCTTTATGCATGAATCCTGAGTGAGACCCTTTAGTGACCTCTAATTATGAGCCCCATGTCCCTTGATTTTATAATGTATTGGTCCTTAGTCATGTCCCTTTAATGGGACCCAATATGATGAGAAAGGATGATGAGAATGATCCTTGAATCTTATGCCTTAAGAAAGATGCCAGTGATTCTGAGTAAATGAAACTCTGAGGACTCCTTAATGAACATGACTTAATCTGACCCCAGAATAAGCTCCGACAAATATAGCCCCAAATATTGGCGTCCATGTAAGAAGCTGAAGAATAACCATGCCCCATCTCAGAGCAATGTTCAGTGTCCCTTACCCCTGAGGTTCATGGTCCTGGGGTGGCCCCCTGAGGGCATGGTAAGGTCATCAAATGAGTTCTGAAGCACATGCACAGCAGACCTGTGGGGAGATGGGGAGATGGGGGCCCTGGGAGACTCTGCACTACTCAGGACAGGGGCAGGGAGCTTGGTGAGGTCAGGAGCAGAGGTGAGTTCTGAGATGAGAGGGAGGACTGGACTAGTGGCAGCTCCAGGTTCTGGTGGTCACTGTTTGATTTGATGGTGGGGGCAAGGAGATAAGAGCAGGAGCCAGAGGTTAGAGTGTGAGCTGGGCATCACCATATGTCACTCAGCTCCTTCTGGAGGTCATCTTTCCAGGAGCCAGTGCCTCCTGCTGGCATCTCCTCAGTCTCTGGCCAGTTGGATGTGTCATACCCATGCTGCTTCATCTTGGTCAGGACCTGGGGCAAAGGGAGAGGGATGAAAGAACAACCATAGTAATTACAGTGCCGATCGTGAAAAATGACCATTCCACAGTATTTAGTAAATGCCAGGCTGCCTTCAAAATGCTTAGCACTCAGTTTTTGTGGCTACCCCTTCAGGTAAGCCTATGCCATCGCACCCATTACATAGATGAGGAAACGCAGGCCTAGAGAGGGAAAGTGACTTGTCACCATGATACAAGTGACATGATGTAAGAAGTGACAGAGCTGAATCTTGAACCTGGGCCTTCTGGCTTCAGACCAATGATAAAGGCTGGTAGAGATCCCTCTACTTCTCATGCAGCTTCTCTGATCTCTCTGCTTACCTTTCGGCACTTCACCTGGGTTTTCTGCATCTTCTGGATGTTCATCAGGTTCTCTGTGATCTCCTCCTCCTGGGCCTCTGTAGGGGGAGCAGAATCAAAGGGGGTCCTTTGGGCTGCAGAACAACAACCCTCCTGGCTGTGGGCACCAGGCACTCACGGAGCTTCTGATAGATGAAGGTGACCTCTTCCCGCACCAGCTCCAGCTCCTCCCAAAGGAACTTCTTGCTGAAGGGAAAGTGCAGCCTAAACCACCCCTCCCTGCCCAGCCCCTCACCCGCTCTGCTCACCTGCCTCCCCAAGTCACCCCCACTTTCCACATACCCATGTGTTCAACCACTATTTCCCCAAATTCTGGCCTCCTTCCCTCCCTCTAGCTTCCCACACTGCCATCCAGTTTCCAGATGCCCTGGCCTCCCTCCCTACCTTTCCTCCAGTTTCCTGCCTTCCCTGTCTTCTGGCTTCCTAATCTCCCACATAAGCCCTCCTTCCCCCTACCAGTCAGCTAGCTGTCTCTCCCCTATCCTCTCCTTTTGTACCTCCAGCTTTCTCTGACCTTTTAGTCCCTCTTACCCAGACCTCTTCCCAGTACCCCTTATCCTGCTCCTAATTCCCTCTGAGCAGTTCCCCCTCCCTCCCAAAGCCCTCAGGCATGCCCACCTGTCCCGGATCTCCTGTGCCAGTAGCTGCAGGCAGCGGGTGGTTCGGGCCTGCTGCACCTCCTCACTGTCCCGCAGGGTTTTTTGCAGCCCCTGCAGGCCTTGTGCCAGAGCCCCATACAGTTCTTGGTGTCCCTGCTCCATGCCACACTTTTGTCTTTCCTTCTCTGTTTGGTGGCTTGTGGGGCTCAGCACCTCTGCAGAGATAGTAGGGACATGACAACCTGGACCACACCTTGAACCCAGACTCACCCACCTCCTCTAAACATGACCTTAGCTGACTGCAATAGGTCTAGTGTCTAGCCTTTGCTTGACCTTGCCAGATCTCACCTTCAAGCTGTTGAAGCTTGATTTGTTGCAGGCAGCTCTCCTTCTCCAACATGGTCACTGAGTGGTTGAGGAATTCAAAAGCCTGGGGGGAAGAGGTCAGACCTGGGTGGGAGACAATATGGGGGACAGGAGCAGAGGTTGCTGGATACTGGGGCTGAGGCTGCTCACTTTGGTCTGGGCCTGTAGCTGGCTCTTGACTGATTCCAGTTCACATCGCAGGTGTTTCTGAGAATCAGGAATCACCATGGTGGACTTATTAGCTATGAGCAGAGGTAAGTGTTAGCAGAAGCTGGAGGAAGGGCAGAGTAGCAGCGAGGTCAGGGCAGAAGTCAGAGGCTCACGGGAAGGGTAGAGGCAGGGGGCAAGGAGCAGAAACCCCTGAGACTGAGGTAGAGGCAGGGATAGAAAGCAAGGTCAGGGGCTAGAGTCAGGTAAGGCTGGGCCAGGGACATATGGGCAGCAATTGTGGGCATGGGTTGAGGCTGGGGCAGAGGGTAGAGGTAGAAACTCACAATTTTCCATTGGGAAGGAGGGGTCTCACCTTTGATTTTGGAAGAGTTGATCTCCAAGGGTTTCTGGGGAAGGGGACAAGGAGGCAGTGGAAATCATTCTTGGGCTACCTCCCTACTTACCCTAACCCAGTCTGAGGGGTTGGACATGAGTTGGGTCTGCTGAATTCTTGGTGTCCCAAACCCCAGGTGCAAGCAAAGTTGCCTGCAGGTGCATGTTCATATCCTGCCCTGGCCTACACAAGCTTGGGGTATACTGACTGGTCCCCTACATTGCAGGTCTGTGGGCTGCCCAAGAGCACAGAGTTGTAGAACCCCTGTCTCTGTCCTGAGCTCAGACAATGGCCCTCTCCTCCTTAGGGGCAAATTAATTGTCTGGAATGGGTGCTAATAATACCTGATGCACAACCTCACTTGGTAATCAAACCACAAGCAGTCACACACACACACACTGCCGCAGACACAACCATGCATGCTAAGTTGTAACCACAAGGGCATCCACTCACACCTCTAAGACACACAACTACCAGCACTGCTAGTCACCCAGAGACTATCACACATAAGACCCCCTAAGACACACAATCGTACAGCCATTCCTTTATTTCCTTCACCCTTTCATTTAAGACCTCTGTAGTGGACAGGCCTCCTGACTACATTGGGCATTGTCCTGGTTACTGAGGACACATGGCTTGAAGGTTCTTCAGGACACTCCTACTGGCACTGCCCCCACCTTAAGCCCCACAATGGTAGATTGGATGAGGCAGGAAAGGATTCCCCTGGTGGAGGTGACCTTAGCAATGCTGTGAATCCTCTTCAGAAGCTCCTGGTCATTACAGCACTCCTTTGAATCTATGTTGAGGAATGAGGAAGACCCATGCGACCCAGGCCCTGAGCCCTTCGCTGGCCTCCAGTCTATAGTCAGTGCTTTGTTCTCAGAAGTAGCTGGTGCCAATGTTTCTGGTTCACTGCCTCTGGACCAGTGAATTGTATAGTCCAAGATCTTGTCTGAGGAAGAGGCTGGGGAGGTGATGGCTTCTTGAGGGCCAGCCAGGAGCCCTCTAGCCCCTTTTAGCTCCCCAGTCCCAGGGTTGCCCATCGACGAACCCCAGGACTTGTCACACTTCCCGTTATCAGGCAAACACAAGTTGGAGGGTGATGGAGATGAGCAGAGGCAGGGTACAGAGTAGTCAGGGTCCCGGGGTAGGCCAGCCAGAAGAGGATCGCTTCAAGTACAGGGGACAAAAAGCTGCTCTGAGACCAGCTTCCATGTCCCGACACTCCCAGACCCTCCCTGATACCCTACAGAGGCCTCAGCCTTGAACATAGATCCTCTAAGTTAAGGTAGGAGTGGAAGCTGCTACCTTGGATGGAAGATGATCCCAGACCTACAGTTTGGGCTAGGAAGAGAGAAAGGCCCCCAAAGCCCCACAGGAGGTAATAAGGCCTCAGAAGAGCCTAAAAAAAAATCTTGATATGGACCCTAGAGGGTGGGCATTTGTGGCAGCAAACAATATATGTAAAAGTTCAGAGGTGATGAACCACAGGCTTTGTGATAGAGACAGGGTTGAAGAAGAAGCAGCAGGAGGTTAGCAAGACAGCTTGAGCAAGGCATTGAAAGTCAAGCAGGGGAGTTGGAACCAGGCTTCCAGGTAAATGGGAGCCATAGAATATGAGCAGGAGAGACAGAGCCTATGTATTTAGTAATTGTTAGCTGAATTGGGGCTCAGGCCTGTGCTAGGTAAGGTCAACAGTAAGAACGAACTCAGCTATAGGTCTCATATCCACACCCCCCTCCCTGTTGCAGTGTAGCCAGGGTTAGTATATATGGAGAAGCTTGGGTAAATAAAACTTCTGGGTGAAGGATGCCTTTCCTTGAGTCACACTCAGCCAGTTTCTCAACGCTCCAGGCCTTTCTCTTCTGCTCTTGCTAGGCTCTCTGCCAGGTGTCTTTCCTCTGACCCAGTCTGCTTGGACTCTTCAAAACCCTACCTAGAAATTCCTCTATAAAAATCTCCCTCAATCCTTTTGTAAGCTCTTATTTTCTGAGCATCTCATTGAACGCTGGCACCACCCTAAGAACTCATTGGATCTATCACACCCACCCTATGATACAGGAATTATTCTTCTGTCTGAAATATTCTAGGCTATCCCTTCAAGAATGACTGCTTCATTGAGACCCTCACTTCCAGAAAAAGAGCAGTATGACGATTAAGGAGACCCTCCAGTTGTATAGCATGGGTTCAAATCCTGGCTTTACCTCTTACCAGCTGTGTGATGTTTGGAAGAGTTACTGAATCTCTCCATGTTTCAATGTCCCCAACTATAAAGATGTAATGACTAACTATCTACCTTATGGGCTGCTGTGACTAAGAAATACGTGCCATGGGCCCTCCCTGGTGGCATAACAGGTTAAAGCGCAGAACTGCGAACCTGACTATCATCACTCTGGTGTGAGTTTGATCCTGGCCAGGGAGGTGACCCACATGGCACAGCAGACCTCTCCTGCCTTGTTAACTGCAACCCTCAGTAGCATACTCCAGTCAATCTGCCTGTTCTGATCCCCACTCTGACTCTGGTGAATCCTCTCACCGCCCCTGCACCTCTGGCCTTGTACCCCAGTTCTGTATGCATAAATAAATAAATCTTTAATAATAAAGAAAAAAAGAAATACATGCCAGTGCCTGGCACAATAGTGGGAAGTTCTGTGTTTGTCTTTGAACCTCAGGGACTTAGGGACCAAAGGAACAGTGAGAGGCCTGGAGGGGAGAAGGGAAGAGGTATTGCTGAGTGCCAAGTGCAGGCAAGCCCCCCCTCCCCTCATCCACATACACCCCAGTTCCCTCACTCTTCCCAGCCTTCAATTTCTCTCCATGTTCATCCAGTAAGTCATCTTTGGGAAAGGAGGCGGGGCCATAATCAGGAGCCTCGCCCCTCGAGCCGTGAATCCTGTGTTCACCAGGCTTCCGACCCTTTCCGCACCCACCTACCACATACCACCTGTTCATGCTCTCCCATCAGGGACCGCGAAGCCAGTCCCCAGCTGTGACGCTGAAATTTGATCCCGTGGGGGCACCATTGCTTTAAAACTCTCGGAGCCTAAAGGTAGAGTCACAGAGAGGGGTGTGGTCAGTATTTAGCCCCGCCCCCTCCGGAGACCTCATTGACGCCTTCCCGCTTCCGTAGATCTCCAGAGTTACCGTGTAATTGGATAAAAGCCTGATGAGGGGGCGGGATTTCAGGATGATTTCTGCGAATCAGTTAGTAAATCTCTAAGAGGGCGGTACAGGAGGCCGCAGACCTACGATTTGATTGGCTTTGGCCTTAGCTAGAGGCGGAACGGGTTCCTGGCTCTACGAAAGGAGGTGGCCGAAGAGGGCCATCGGCCACCTGGAACGAGGGAGTGAGGTACTGAGCCCAGCACGCCTGGCCCCAGAATTTACCCCTAGCGTCTCTGGTTTTGCATTTCTGGGAACTGCGAGTTGAGATCGAGTTCTTAATGGTGATTTCCTGTCCTCCGCATGGCTTCCCAAAGATAGATGGAGCCTGAGGGTTCTTTGGGAACTTTCGTAATGGATTCTGAGAGCAATAATCTTTGTAGTTAGAACTGGCTTCTTAAGACGATCATTGAAGACTTAAGGGCTGCGTGCAATTTTGAGCGGCTGAGGCTGAATTTAGGGGTTGCAGAAGTCGCATGGACATTGTTGGGGTCCAGAGGCCTTGAGGTCTTGAGAGCAGTTTGCAGTGATGGGGTTGGGATTGTCACAGGACTGCTCTGCTCCTCCTCCACTTCTGGCTTGCTTTCTCTGGATCTCTGCCGAATGGCCATGACCCAGGCCTTGAGCAGATTCACTGAGTCTGAACGCCTCCACATAGAGGTAAAGCTCTGATGCATGGTGCCTCCTTCCTAGACCTGCAAGATGGAAGACGGTGGGACCCTGGGAAGCCTGACAAAAGTGGTTCATCTACTGGTCTTGTCAGGGGCCTGGGGCATGCAAATCTGGGTGACCTTCGCCTCAGGTAGGGATCTTCACCTGGACAGCTTGGTGCCTGGGGTGGGGACAGGAATCAGTGCAGATTCAGAAGATTGTTAACAGGTGTGTGGCTTCCTGCACTCCCACAGGCTTCCTGCTTTTCCGAGGCCTTCCCCGACATACTTTTGGTCTTGTGCAGAGCAAACTCTTCCCTTTCTACTTTCACATCTCCATGAGCTGTGCCTTCGTCAACCTCTGCATTTTGGCTTCACAGCATTCCTGGGCTCAGCTCACATACTGGGAAGCCAGCCAGGTATGCCAACTTAGGCTCCACTACCCTCTGGAGACTAGACTTATTGCTAGGACCCCACTGAACACCTATGGCTATACTTTTGAGATAATTAAAAGTATAGTCCTCCTCTTCTTGGTGGATACAAAACTGGGTTTTAAATGCCCTGGAGCAGTGCACAACGTGCACAACTGTCCCCAGCAGCCCTGTATATCCCCCAGTGTGTCTCTGCTGCCTGCTGCTCCCTCTCCTCCTAGCTTGGCCTGCCTCCAAGCTGTGGTGACTCAGCTGGACTGGGGCATTGACCCCAGTTCATTGTTTAAAAACCAGCCTGACTGGGAATTTAGTCTCCTATCCTCATCCACACATTGAGCCACAAGGCAAGAAACCATCTATATGTCTCATATTTCCCTATCCTGTGTCTCCACTGTGTTCCTCAGAGTTGGGCAGGTAAGGCCTGCCAGGTGTCTTAAGAATAATCCCACAGAGACAGGAGAGGATAATGGGCAACTGGAACTCTAAGGACTTATTTACTCCCTGCGGGCCCAGTGTTAGCTTCTGGGGCTTGGGCAAGGGCCAAAGAGGAGACAGATGTACTATTTTGAGGGAGTGAGGTGATAGTCATAATTTGGGGAAGAAAGGATAACTTAGATAACTTCAGTAGGGGAAAATAGAAGATGGGAGGAAACAAGACTGTGTTATGGAGACTTCTCGTATGGGCATCTAAGGACAGGAGGCTCAAGGTTTTCGTGGGATAGAAATGGGTAATGAAGCCTTTCCTTAAGGGGCTGCAAGTTGGGACCCCTAGTCTGGGTTTGGGGAAGGAGGAAGGCCCATCACTGTCCCCTTTCCCCCTTGCTTTCTGGGATATGAGGATGCAGAAGGGCCTTTCCTGGAGCCCTTCTGGCTCTCACGCTCAGATAACCTTGTCTTCCCACTGCCCTTGCCAGCTGTGCTTGCTGTTCCTGAACCTCACACTGGCCACCATCAATGCCCGCTGGCTGGAACCTCGAACCACAGCTGCTATGTGGGCCCTGCAGATGGTGGAGAAGGAGCGGGGCCTGGGCCAGGAAGTGCCTGGCAATCACCAGGGTCCTGATCCCTACCGCCAGTTGCGGGGACAGGACCCCAAGTACAATGCGCTCCGCCAGACCTTCTTCCACTACCATGGCCTCTCCTCCCTTTGCAACCTGGGTTGTCTCCTGAGCAATGGGTTCTGTCTTACAGGCCTTGCCCTGGGCCTCAGGAGCCTCTAGCTCCCACTGCCTCTCTGGCAAACTAAATGTCAATAAACACTTTTTTTTTTGAAATGGCTGCTCTTGTGTTTTTCCTAAAACAGGGGCAGGGGTGGGCAAGGATTGAGCTGATGTTTTCCTCATTCATATGGGATGATGATTTAGATTATCAGCTATGGCAGTGCCTAAGCTCTTACTATAATGACAGGGTATGGACCTGTACTGTCCCGGTAGTGGACATGCCATTTTTTTGTGATAAGAAAAGTTAATTCTGATCCCTAGTGAATAACCGTATTTCCCACTTCATTGACACTGGGGGGGAGGGCATGACTGTGACTTGCTTTTCACCAATGCAATGTGAGCAGAGGTGGCAGGAGTCATTTCCAAAGGTGAAGGTATGAACCAGTGCATGATTTGCCACCCGCTCCATTCACCACAATGAGCAGGAGGAGAAGCAGATCAGGTGCACTTGCTTGTAACAGCATACGCTGGCCCTTTCTGATTCATGTCATCTCACCACCTGTGAGGGAGCCCTTGGAGGCTGCTACTGTTGTTCCCATGAAACAATAGGGGCTCTGCTTTTAAGTGGACAGATGGAGTTGTTGGGATTTAACAGCAAAGCCTGCACTATTTCAACTGCAGTCTCTTAAGTGGTCCTGGAAGCCAAATGTCCTTATTATGTGGCTTCAGGCAAGGGGTTGCCCCTCTCTGAGCTTCTGTTTCCTTATTCAGAAAGGGAAATGTTAATTCTGAGGGTTCTTAAAAGTCTTTCACAAAGGGGTCTATTTACTTTCTGGTCAGGCACTGTACTTTGCAAATACTAACTCAGGCTTAACAAAACTCTGAGGGGGGACTTACTGCCCACTGAAAAAGACCTGGGAAGTTTAAGTGACATGCCCAAAGCCACAGAGCTGGAAAGAGATTGAGATGGGGTTGAAATCCATCTCCAGAATCCTCTGTGCATGTAGTAGAAGCTCTACATACATTTGGGGGAAAGAAAAGCTTATTGTTGACAGGCAGCGATAGACTCCTGCAGGTTTAGGCTGTGTCCAACTCCACCGCCCACCCACCTCCTACCCGCACACCCTCCAACCCCCATCTTCTCCCCACCCCTACAACCCCTCAGCTTTCCTCAAGCCTCGCCCCCTCTGCCCCGCCCGTCCTTCCCGGGGAGCGGTCCCTCCCCTGCCTGGGCGGAGCCGGCGTTGGATCCGGGTGGCTGCGGCGGCGGCGGCGGCGGCGGCGGCGGAGGCGGAGGGTTTGGGGTCGCGACCAAGACCAGGCTGCAGCGAGTTCGGAGGCAGAACGCCCGCGGACATCGTCCCCCAACAAGAGGTGACACTCCTCCCCTCCCCCAGCTAGGGAGCCCTGTACTTCTGCGTCTTAACAGGTCTGGGGGTACAGGGAGAATAGGAAAAGGACCAGGAGAACAAAGGCAGGTGGCGTGGGACGACACTTTTCCCTCGCCCCCACCCAGCTGGGCTCTTCGGGGAGCGTTAACTGGTTGCGGGAGGAGCAGAGAGCCCAGCTGGGGACATGGGCTGGGACCATATGGTGATGGGAGGGAGCCCCTGAGCTCCCTTGCACCAGCTGGGTTACCCCAATCCAGTGAAGGGAAACAGGGCCCAACCCTCCTGGGACCCTCACCCACTGTCAGGAGTGAGGGGAGGTGGGCAGGTAATCAGAAAGAGGTGAGACCGACTGACAGGTGTGCTGTGGGCGGGGAATTGAGGGTTCCAGCCTGGAGGCCAGGCCCAGCTTGGGGAAAGATTTCCTGCCTCTTCTCTTGCCCTCCTCAAACTCGTTCTCCCAGTACTTGGGGTGGGGCCCCAGGGCAGGGCAGGAAAGAGGGGCCTCTTGGGTTCTCCTTTAAAATGGAAAAAAGTTCCACAAGCTGTTTTGAAATAATTATGCCTGGGATTCTCCCGTCAGTGTGCCCTCTACTCACCCAGGCATTCTGGTGCCTCCCAGTTCAGCTCTGGAAGCAGCAGTAACCAGCTGGGAAAACTGAGGCCTAGGGAGGAATAAGGGCTGGGGGGATGCCCTGGACCCAAATGAAGCAGCCCAGCTGTCAAGACAGATTGGCAGGAAAGAAAGTCTGGGTGTTCTTGATTATTATGTGATTGGGGTGGTTTCCTTAGGCTTGAGGATTGTCACTCTCACCAAGCCAACATGGGCTAGGGCTTAGATGAGTCAGCCCTGCCTTAGGGAGACTGCCCAGCCCCTTTTACAAACAGAAGTTGGAGGTACCCACTTGGAGATGAAACTAGGCTTTAAACCTAGGCTGTAGCCCCCTGAAACTACACCCCCCCCCTTGGGGTTAACAAAGAGGTGGCCCTCCAGTGGCTGATACCTGTTAAAATGAACTCTGGGCTATGGGGGAGGGAGAGAGAGAGGCTCTATCCAGCTGGCAAGGTCTTCCTCCCCCCAGTTCATACCTGGGCCATGCCAGCTGCTTAGCCTGGGGCAAAGTCCACACCTATACCTTCTTCAAGATCTGGTTCCTCACTGGCCAGAGGAGGCACCCCATGTGTCCCCCATGTGTCTTTGTATTTGGTAAAAATCCCCATTTTCCAGAGGAGGGTGTTGAGGCCCAGAGAGAGCCAGTGATGTGCCCAGAGTCCAGTACTTGAATTCAGGCCTGACATAATGCATTGGGGCCCTTACTCTGGTGTTTGATTTCCTTACAGGACCCTAGTCCTCCCCAGTTGAGGATTCTAGGCCTCTCCCTTCCCCCTGCCAAGGCTCCCTGCCAAGATGGCATCAGCAGGAGACACCCCCACCAGCCCCCGGGATGCAGCAGACCAGAATTTCGACTACATGTTCAAGTTGCTCCTCATCGGCAACAGCAGCGTGGGCAAAACGTCTTTCCTGTTCCGCTATGCCGATGACTCCTTCACACCTGCCTTTGTCAGTACTGTGGGCATTGACTTCAAAGTCAAGACGGTCTACAGGCATGACAAGAGGATCAAACTGCAGATCTGGGTGGGCCAGCAACCTGGGCTGCTTTGTTGGGGTGGGAGGGCTAGAGTTACTCCAGAGATCTCATGTAAGGGTATAGGGTTGTGAAAGGGTCCCACAGAGTTGGTGAGGTAGCCTGGAGTAGGTATGATGAGTAGGGGGGAATTATCTATGTGATTAATTTGTCAAATGAGGGCGATGTGCTCTGTCCTATGAAGTCTGAAAAGGAGATGGTGGGTTAGAAGTCCTGGTAACCATTGAGGAAGAGGTTCTGGTACCATCTCAGGTAACACTGTGGGCCCTGAATGAGCCTGCCTGCCACTCAGGGCTAGTGTCTGCTGTCAACACTTGCCATGGTAATGAACACAACACTGTAGGGTGCCTGCAATAGGGCACTCTCTGGCTCATGTGGCTCTTGTCTGTGGTCACTAAGTTGGTTTTTAGAGGTGAGGTCAAAGGGGCTCATAAGTCTTTGAGAGGCCACAGATTCCCTCAGACTGGGAACCCTTTAGGGCCAGGGCTATGTCTCCATTCATCCAGGAGACTGTGGACAAGCCAGATTTATCCCATTAGACTAGAAGCTGTGCAGCCAGCCCCCATGATCCCCTAATTATCCTAGAGGCTCTGTGGGCCAGCCTTTGTTTCTCCCATCAATCTAGAGCCTATGAGGACAGGCCCATGTCTCCGAATTGACTGGAGATTATATAGGCAGGTTCATGTCTCACCCATCAAACTGGGACTAAGAGCAGACAAAGCAGTGCACCCTCAGACAAGTGCCTCCAGGGTGGGGTAAACAGTGCTTCCAGCTGTCTGATTCCACTGTTCACCCAGGACACTGCGGGCCAGGAGCGCTACCGTACCATCACCACAGCCTACTACCGTGGTGCCATGGGCTTCCTATTGATGTATGATGTTGCTAACCAGGAGTCTTTTGCTGCTGTGCAGGACTGGTGAGTGCTTGCTGACCACTGACACCCTGATTTTTGCCCTCCCCACCCCACCCCCTAATTCCAGCCCTAATGGCCCTCAAATTCTACAGGGCTACACAGATCAAGACCTATTCCTGGGACAATGCCCAGGTCATCCTTGTGGGGAACAAGTGTGACCTGGAAGATGAGCGTGTTGTGGCTGCGGAGGATGGCCGGAGGCTTGCTGATGACCTTGGTTAGTATAAAACCTGGCCCACAGGCCCTGAGCCTCCCACACCTAACTCTCATCCCTACCCTCAGGTCCTCTGTCCAAGAGCAATCACCAGCAGTTTGCTTTTTGAGTATCCTCCCCAGAAATGTCCATAAACATGCCACCTTCTCCATTTAATTTTTGGAGATTCATCCACAGTTAATTCTCAATTTCCTCACTGCCCTGTGATCCCAGACTCAGCAAAATCACTTCTGGAAGTTTATTCTACAGAATCTACAACAATGTGGGAAATGGCTTATATCAAACTGAAGCAGTGTTAGTAGGAGGAAAACTTTGACAACCTCACAGTAGTGGAAACAGCTAAACATAAAGTTTACAGTTATGCATTGCTTAATAACATTTTGGTTAATGATGGACCTTATAAAAGATGGCAATAACTTGATAGCACTGCCAGTGAGGCAACACATAAAAGATGATAGCTCCAATAAGCCATTCCATGTAGCTTAGTTATAATAGGCTATACCATCTAGGTGTGTAATTACACTTTATGATGTCTACACAATATGATATCACTTAATGATTTGTTTCTGAGAATATCCCCATCATTAAGTGGCATGACTATATATTTACATGGTGGAATACTATACAGCCATAAAATCGATCAAGCTGTTCTCTGTGTTTCACTATGGCAAGATCTATGGGATATATGATTGAGTGGTAAAAGTAAACTGTAAAAGTCATGGTTATTACTGCTCCCTTTAGTCCAGGGCTCACTTTCTTTAAGGACCAGACAGGAAGTATTTTTAGCCATAGAGTTGCAACAGTTCAACTCTGCTTCAAAGTTGCTATAGACAATCCGTTTCACTAATGAATGAGTGTGATCATTTGTCCATAAAACCTGTTTACAAAAGCACACAATGGGCCAGAATTGGTCTATGGTTTGGAGTTTGTTCACTCCTGCATTAGTGTATAAAAAAGATAAGAAAAGAATAAAAGCATGTTTGCCTAAAGAAAATGTGGAGATATACACAGAAATCTAGTAGCAGTGGTGACCTATGTGTGTCTGAGAAATGGGAAGCCAGGGCACCAGAGTGGGAGGGGGATTTTCATTTTACCTTTTGGAATCAGGTGGGACTGTATATTCAGAATTTAGGCTACATGAAAATCTGATCTTGGAGTATCCAGTATTCTAGGCTATCCTGGGACTTTTATTCTGGGAGGTGGTATCATCATTGCAGGAGGAGAGCAAGTTAAGGGCCCAGACCTGGAGTTAGAATCCCAGTCAACAATCCATCTGTTTTGGGACCTCCTTCTTTCCATTTCTCCATCTCGAAAACAAGTGAAAACTGTGTTAACTGTTTTTTGCTGTTTTTACTGTTGTTGTGGAGTGAGCTCGTGTGGTCATACTCTAGACCCACAATTGGGCTGGCAATAGTGAAATCAGCTATGACCGGGTCTTGGACTGGGGTTCTTGCCCCTACTTTCTTGCAGGGAATATTTGGAGCTGTTAGAAAGGTTAAATAAGCTAATGTTGGCCCTGGTGGAACATTAACTCAGTGTTATTTCTCGATTGCTTCGTGATCTTGTACTACCAGTGACTTCAGCTCTCTGTGCCTGCACTTCCTTGTTTGTGCAACAGAAATGATAACAGCTCCACCTCATTGAGTTGTCATGAAGAGTAAATGAGTTCTAATATATGTGGCAGTAATAACAGTCAGAGCTGTGGGTGGGTTGCATCTAAGGGTGAACATGAATGTAAATTATTGTTGATGTAAAACTCTCAATACCACGTGGCCCTCAAAGCCAAAAATATTTGTATCTGGCCCTTTATTACTATTTTTTAAAAGATGTATTTATTTATGCATATAAGAACTGGGGTACAGGCCAAAGGTGCAGGGGCAGTGAGAGGATTCACCAGAGACAGAGTGGTGAGCAGAACTGGCAGACTGACGAAGTACACTGCTGAGGGGAGCGGTGGGTGTGTCAGGAGAGGTCTGCCATGCCATGTGGGTCACCTCTAGGGCGGGAATCGAACTCATGCTGAAGTGGCTTTAGCTTCTTAGTGCAGTGCTTTAACGCGCTGTGCCACCAGGGAGGGCCTGATCTGGCCCTTTAAAAAGAAAGTTCAACCCCATGCCATTGTCTTTTTGGAGAAAGTAAATCTTTGTTCTATGGACTGTCTCCCATTTAAGTTTGGCTTTTTGTTCCCTGTGGTGTCATGTAACCTGCTCCTCTGTCCCTTATGTTTTCTGGGAATTCCAACCTGGTGTGCTGTGGAGTAAGCTCATGTGGTCAGACCCTGGACCTTCAATTTGCCTGGAACTGGGGAAATCCACCATGACCCAGCCCTAGGCTGGGGTTCCTTCTTGCAGGGAATATCTAGTAATTGGGAATGGTGTGTGTTGGGGGGGTAGCAGGGGTGGGGGCGGGGGAGGCTGTCATTCTGTCGCTAAATTTAAAATATTGGAGTACAAAGAGAGAGAGAGAATTTGATCCCAATTTTATAGGAAAAAGACCAGACATGCACACATCCCTTAAAACCCAACCCTAACCATTGTGTATTTGTATTTTAAAAACTGGAAAACTAAATATCAAAAACAAAAAAAAAAACAGTAGTAACTATTTCTGGGTGTTATGATTACAAAGAGTTTTTTTATTTGTCTTGATATTTTTCAGGATGTAGTATCTAGCTTCTACAGTGAATCTCCAGTGAATATTTATAATCAGGGGAAAAATGTTAAGAAAACAAACAATTCAGATTGTTTGAAATAGAATCACACATAGAGAAGGTGTGCCAGACTTGCCCCCAGAAGACAATCTAGTGACTTGGTGATCACAGCTTGTAGTAGGAGATCTAATTCAGGCTCTGCCTGTCATTTATTTATTCAGTTGTAAGCAACAGTAACTGAGCACCATCTTTTTGCCAAGCACCAGGCTGGATGAAGTCATGGACAAGGCAGACAGAAATCCTAGTATTCTAGTAAATAGATAATCACATACTACTATTTAACTACTTATATTTTTATATTATGACATTTTACAGCTTGAGAAGGGCTGCATAGAACCCTGTTTACGCTGTGCTATGTGTAATATGGTAATTTTTTTTTTTTTTTTTGGATCTCTGACCCACCTCAATGGGCGTGGCAGGTGGGGACACATTAGGAGCAATTCAGGGACAGTCACCTGCAGGTAGCGCCTGAATCAGCCTTTCAGAGGAATAGAAAGGACTACTTTCATGTCAGTAGGCCACATTTTGTAGACAAACGGTTTTTGGGCAGATCCCCAAGGTATTTGCACCACTTCCTACCTTTGGAAATATAAAAGTTGACAAATTATGATAGCCTGAGAATATTCAAAGCCAGGCAGCTGGACATAAATTCCAGCTGTGCATGTATTATTACTTGTGTGAATTTAGATGAGTGACTTGCCTTCTCTTTGCAGCACAAATTGGACATAAACCAAGCACAGTCACCCACAGGCATCCCAGTTCTTCCTGGGCGCCAGGACGTACCTGGAGTCTTGTAGCTACTACCTTGTGATAGAGAGCTTCCTACCAGTATCGAGAACAGGATGCATCTGCAGATTTTTATCATCATCAATATTATTGTTCCCACTGCACAGATGCGCAGGCCGAGGTTGACAGACTAAAGTATACTCAATTCAGGCAGGGTCAGTCTTGGAGACTCAGGTTGGGTGGTGCCACAGCCCAGGCTCTGCCTGTGGTAGAGTCTTTCTCATCAGTGTCCCTCCTTATGTCCCTCCAGGTTTCGAGTTCTTTGAGGCCAGTGCCAAGGAAAACATCAACGTGAAACAGGTCTTCGAGCGCCTGGTAGACATCATCTGTGAGAAGATGAATGAATCCCTGGAACCCAGCTCCAGTGTGGGCAGCAATGGGAAAGGCCCAGCCCTGGGGGATACTCCACCCCCCCAGCCAAGTAGCTGTAGTTGCTGAGATGGCCCCAACCCCTATCTACTCCCTCCTGCCACAGCAGGGACTGTGATGAGCCATGAGCCACAAGGGCTGTTTCTAAGCTCAGGGCACTGCCAGCCTTGCCTCCCATCAGCTACCAACTGCCCCTAACACCTGCATGACCTGTTCACTAGCCATGGCTGCAATAGCCTCAATCACAAGCCCCCAGGCCCTGGGAGCTCTACAGTGCAGGCAGGGACTGGGGACTTTGACATGCCTGAACTCGCTGCTTTTCAGGGGTTTTAATGAGGGTGGCATGGGCTGCATGGTCTCCCCTGCCTGGTGGAGGGGTATCAGGTGCCTTCTGCATTAGGGGCATTGTCCAGGGCCATTCTGTTGGTGGGTATGTGTTGTGCCTTGCCTGGTGTTCACAGGCCAGCTGAAGATGGTTTGTTTTCTCCCTTATGTAATATGGGTTCTCATAATTAATCTCTGGAACGGTGGAAGACAGCTCTTCTTAGACCTCCATCTATTTCCCAAGCCTGTCTGTGAACCTCTTAAGACCTCAGTGTGCTGAGGTAGAAGGTGATTTAGCCCTTGTAGACTCCTCCCTTCTGGCCTGCAGATCCTCTGCCTATGAAAACAGTATTAAAGCAGCTTTTCCCATACGACAGGACAGGGAGTCAGCAGCTCCCCAGCCCCCGCCACCTTGCTTTCAGGGACCCCCAAAAAGTGCCTTCTGAGCTTCCCCAGAATTCCAAACCACTATCCTCCATGACCCTTTCACTGTTTTGGCTTGTCCACTGAATCTCTGATCCAAAATTGATTTCTGGAACTACCGATGGGCTGTGTCAGGTGGAGCAGAGAAGCTCTTAACCCCTGGCATTCCTGCATGGGGTTTTTTACCAGTAGCTAAACTCAGTCATGAGCCTGGTCCCCCCTCTCCTTTTGGCCCCTGGCTCTCTTGTCTAGAAAAAAAAGGCCCTCTTGGGGCTTTTCCACTGCTAGTGTTTTAAGCAAGCAGAGCCTTTCTACATCTTACATCCTGCTAGAAATGGAAATTGAGCAACGTTTAGAATTTGCCCTTGCTGGAGACTTTCCAAAATGAGGACTTGGGCCCATCCCATTTGAGAGCTTGACCACCTGGCTTGTTTCCTAAGCCATGTCATAAGTGAGCCCCAGTGATGTGGCACTTTCTGCTAATGCCGGCATCACTCAGAGGAATGCTTTGTGGTTAGACCAGAGGGCTAAGGAAGCAGAATTGTATAACTGCTATTTCTTGCACATCAACAGCCACAGCTTGGGAACGGCAGGTTTATGAGGGGATGAGCGAGGGTTAGTCCCCCTGGCTGGGGCACAACTAAGGGAGCCATGAGACTGAAGCCCCAGCTGCTGGGGCTCCTGCTGGGAAGTTATGTGTAGTTTGGGGCTCTAGATCTTAAGACACTCCTTTGTCCCCTTTCCCTGCCTCAACAGCCCCACAAAGCCAAAACTGATGGCACAATACCTCCCACCCCAGAACGCCAACTGACACTCCATTGACCAACACTGTGAGGATAACCTTAGAGATGCTTTGTTCTGCCTCCGCTCACCACCAAAATGACTTAAACCTCCTCCTTCTGAAGTTAGGTTCAAATTCACATTTAATCTTACTCTAGAATAAATTTCTTCCTATAAGATCCTATTTGCCTTATACCAAGGGCTAGCTATCCATAGAGCTTGAAAGTAAGGATATCTTTATATGTCAACAAATTAGATTCTCACTATGAAAGGCTAAGTTCCTAAAAGCACAGAGTATCTGAGTGTTTTAGGTGGAAGTCAAGTATTTTAGTTTTATTACAGAAATGAAATTAATGCAGCTAAAAAGTGTGTGCATCACAGTCTGTCAACAGGCTAGTGTCTGGTGCTTTTTTCTTAAGCTGCTACCAGGAAAATATGGTGGAATAGAGGGTCATTATCTAAGGGACAAACCTACTTGGACACCAGAGTTGGCCTAAGCTTCCTGTTTACACATGAATTTTTTAATAGTTTGACTTCAAAGTAGCAATGAAGCAACTGCCTCTGGGAATAAAGCATGAGAACTTTTTTGTTCTAAAAATAGTACAAGTTTTTATTTTATGATGTTTGGGGGCAATGTTTGATTCCTGGTGGCAAAACTGATTATCTTCAAAGATCACTGGGGAACTAGAAGTTTAAATTTACAAACAACAATTAAACCAACTGCAGTGACTTCCCACTTCTGGGGAGAGGAAGGCAGACGCAGACCCTGAGGTGGTTCTGCACCAGTGCAGCGCCTTCCTACCATTCACTTCTAGCAATTTGTCTTTCTGAAAACAGGTTCAGTGGGAAATTACCATATCTGGTTAAGGGTTCTGCTTTTTTTTTTTTTTTTTTTTTTTGACTTCTCCAGGGATAATTTTCTTCTGTCTGTCCTCCTTAGTAAAAAAATAAGGGGTAAAATTTGTTCTCAGTGTTGAAACACTAATTGCCCTGGCTGACTTCTCCCTAATTATCCTGAAACACTATGATGAGAGCTTTTGACCTGGTCATTTGTATCCTGGATGTGGTTCTGTGTAAGTGATTCTTTGATGTCCATTTAAAAAGACATGTGCTTTTTTCCACAAGGAAAATTAAATTAAAGCCATTTGCCCAAATGTGGTGACTTACTTCCATTAGTGAAATGTGATTTTCAGGAAGAGAGACTGATTCTCAGCCAAGTAGATGAGGGCACAGTGATGCAGCAGAACCTGCCTGGGTCAGGCCATGAAAGCTGTTTTGGGGCTCTAACCAAGCCTCATAGCCACTGTCTTGCTTCTTAAAAATCCGTTTGTATAGGGATGTATCCCTAGTTAATCCTAGTGAGATCTGACTTACTCTCAGCATCCAGAGTATACCTGTAGCACCTGAATTGAATCAAATCCCTCCTTGTTCAGAGCCTTCCATCATTCCCACTTTCCCCGGGGTAAAAGCCAAAGACCTCGCCTGCTCAAGCTGACCTGTCAACTCCCTACCCTCCACTCTTGCTGCTTTCCATGCTCCAGTCACACTGGTTTGTCTCTTTTTGAGCACACTAGACCCTGGCCTGAGGGCTTTGCACTGGTTATTCCCTCAGCCTGGAAGGTTCTCAACCCAAGTAATCACAGGACTTCTCTCACCTCCTCCTCCAAGGCAACTCTCACCTTATTGACCCTCTGTTTAGTACTGTAACATTTAGTACCGCAACACTTCTGATGTCCCTTTCCCTATGCTCCACATAACCTCTAGAATCTAAACTACTATTCAGTCTACTTGTCTACTTATGTAACTTAAATAGGTGTCTCCCTCACTAAAGAGTAAGAGCAGGGCTCCACTGAGGAATGAACTGTTGAGTGTACTCTCCTAGGCTCTATGGTATTGTTCACAGAGATAAACATTTTTCTTTCATTGACCTAAATGTGATTAAGTAATGCCTAGCTAGTATCAACTCAGGTGCAGGGATTTCAATTTTTTTTTTTTTTTTTTTTTTTTGTAATCAACTTACCCAGGGTCCTCTGAGACATAATAGAAAAGAAATATTTGGTCTTTGGTTCCTGGCACACAGCTCCTTAAACCCTTGGAACCTCCTAGTAATGTGTGTTTTTTGCATGCTAAAGCGGACTTAAGGCCGGGGGTCCCTGGATAGTATTTGAATGGGAGCCAGAAAGACCAAGGCTGGATTGGAACTTTCTGCCCCCTCCACTCTCCACATTCAGAGAGAGGGGCAAGAGAATGAGTTAATCACCAGTGTTCAGTAGTTTAATTAATCATACCTACCTGATGAAACCTCCATAAAAACCCCTGAACAGTGGGGTTAAGTGTTCTTTTGGTGAATACATAAAGGTGCTGGAGGGTGGTGCACCAGAGAGGGCATGGGAGCTCCATGCCCTTCCTCATGCTCTATGAGTTTCTTCCCCCAGCTGTTCTTGGGCTGTAGCCTTTCTTTTTAAATGATAGGATTCCTGACTTTCATGTCATCTTTGCACAGAATGATGCTAACCTGTTCTGTATTGTTGCTTTTTTTAAAAAAGCATACAGAACTGGGGTACAGGCCAGAGGTGCAGGGGTGGTGAGAGGATTCACCAGAGACAGAGTGGGGAGCAGAACAGGCAGACTGACGAAGTACACAGCTGAGGAGAACAGAAGAGGTCTGCAGCACCACGTAAATCACCTCCCGCGCTGGGGATCCAACTTGCAGGGCTGCGGCCAACTTGTAGTGCTGTGCTTTAACCCATTTTTTGAGTCATTTCATCAATAATTATCAAACCTGAAAGGGAGGGGAGGTGTAGGGCCACCCCGACTTTGTAGCTCAGTCATGTAGAAGTACGGATCAGTTGCAAATCCAGTATTTCCAATAAACTTCTGAAATGCAGGCATTCTTGTGGGACTATGGTGTCTGTTGCAAAAATCTGGGACATGTCATAATGGAATTGAACTGTAGGACATTCATTTAGTGCCTGCAGAGAATTGCTTGGTGTGGAGAACCCCTCACCTTTGGTGTCACAAGTATTTTGTGTAGGTGCTCCACAGATTTCACTGAATGAATGCACTGAGTACTGAATGCTAGACTATTATATCCAAAGACTCACACTGCCCCGGTATTCTCAACCTTCCCCTTTGAGGTGGCCCTTTCCAAACCAGACAGGCTTTGGTAAGAGATCCTCTCTCCTATGCAGAGTTCCCAAACCTAGCCTCTCAGTTTGGGTTCTACTTCCATGTGTAAACAAACAGCAACAATTACACATACAAAACACACTGATGGGCCAGCGGGGATCACATGTCCACCACTCATTTAAGGATGGAAATCTAAGAGTTGGCTGGTTTCAAAGAGAACCTTGTGTGTTCTTGCCAAAAGTGGGAGATGACTGCAGTGATAGCAAATATGATATGCCCATTTCTCTTCTTCAAAATGCCTCCCATCCACCTCTCCCAATCCTGCAAAGAAAGAGGAAGAATTGATGAGCCACCGTTTCTGCAATCCTCAACAAATGAATTGATTCAGGCTGCAATGGTCATTGGATTAAGTCCTTGGTTTACTGATTCTCAGGCATGACCATGGCTTAGAATCACCTGGATGTATGCAAAAAGTACCTGCTCTGGGCACAGACAAGTACAATTCAATCAGGAGATGGGAAATGGGATCCAGATTTGGGTATTTTGTTAGTGCTTAGCAGGCAGGGCTGAGAAGAGTGAGTTACCGGAAATACAGGGGAGAGAGAGAGAGAAACAAGGTAGAGTCCGCACCTTCTGGAAATCAAGAAGCAAATCCAGAAAGTGCTGTAAAGTGAATAAGCTCTGGGGATGCATGGAAACTATGGCTAATAATATTATGCTGTTCATTTTAAAACTTCTAATAGAGTAAATTTTAAAAGTTTTCATCAGGGCCCTCCCTGGTGGCACAACAGGTTAAAGCTCAGCACTATGAAGCGATCAACTGCAGCACAGATTCGATTCCTGGTCAGGGAGCTGACCCACATGGCGTGGCAGACCTCTCCTGTCTCTCCAGCTGCTCCCCTCAGCAGTGTACTTCGTCAATCTGCCTGTTCTGCTCCCCTGCTTTCTAGTGACTCCTCTCACACCCCTGCACCGCTGGCCTATAGCCTAGTTCCCATGTGCATAATTAAATTAATCTTTGAAAAAAAGTTTTCATCAGACACACAAAACTTTTACATCTATGTATGGTGGCAGGTGTTAATGGGACTCACTATGACCATTTTGTAATATGTGCAAATACTGAAGCATTATGTTGTGCACCTGAAACTAATATGATATTATGTTTCTATTATAGCTTAATAAAAAACAAAGAACTAAAACATAAGCATTTCTGAGCCAATAGGAAGAATTCGGTGATGGCCTGGGTTTTGGGTGATGCCAAGGAAATAGCTATTAGCCTTAGTGGTTCAAGTTGTCCACGTCACTGTAACTGAATGTCAAAGGGCGGGGAGTTTATAAACAACATTTACTTCTTGTAGCTCTGGAGGTTGGAAAGTTCACGATCAAAGCATCAGCAGATTCAGTGTCCGTGATGACCACCTTCCTGGTTCATGGATGGCCATCAATTTGTCACATCCTCACATGGCAGAAGGGATGAGGGAGCAATCTGGGGTATGTCTTTTTTTTTTTTTTTTAAGATTTATTTATTTATGCACACAAGAGCTGGGATATAGGCCAGAGGTGCGTTAGGTGAGAGGACTTACCAGAGACAGCAGGGACCAGAACAGGTGGATTGACTGGAATATACTGCCGAGGGGAGCAGCACGTGAAAAAGGAGATGTCTGCTGCACCTGGAGTCTGTCTTTTCTAACTAACTAATCCCACTCACGAGTGCTTCACCCTATGACCTGATCACCTCTCAAAGACCCCCTGTCCTGACACCATCGCCATGGGCGTTTCAACATGTGAATGTTCGTGGGGGGGGGAGGTTTCAGGGGATGCACAAACTTTCAGTCAGGTGTGCTAATGGCATTAGGGTTAGGAACACAAATGTGTACATTTAAATTTTTATTTATTTATTTTTAAAAGATTTATTTCTTTATGCACACAAGAACTGGGGTACAGGCCGGAGGTGCAGGGAGTGAGAGGATTCACCAGAGACAGAGTGAGGGAGCAGAACAGGCGGATTAACTGAAATACACTTCTGAGGGGAGCAGAGGGCTGAGACAGGAGAGGCCTGCTGTGCCATAGGTCATTTCCTTGGCCAAGAATGGAACTCATGCTGCAGTGGCTGCAGATAGCTTCATAATGCTGCAATTTAATCCCTTGCACCACTAGGTAGGCCCCAATTTCCAAATATTTTATTATCAACCAATCTCCCTTCCAAAAGTAGGGAGTACCACAGAGAAATCAAAACGATTCCACATCCCCAGCCAGGTGGGCTTAGGTGTTTGTCCTCTAGAGGTCGGTCAGCTCAACTTGACAAACAGCCGGAATAAATGGTTCCCAGCAGCCGAAAGGAGAGAAGAAGCACTGAGCCAAATCAGGGGACCTCCAAATCCACATCAAATCAAATAGGCAGGTAGCATCCTGCTCCAGAAAGCTGAAGGCAGAGTTTTACAGATGGCTAATGATTACTCAGGATCAAGTTGAAACCACTTTGACAGTCAACAAATCGATCTCAGCAGGGGTGGATAGAAGGTGAAAGATGTTCATGGTGCTTGCCAACTCTTCTCCTTTTGCTTCTTGTCTCCACTATCCTTCTGCCTGCACTTGGGTTCAGTAGACTATTCCCAGAATCCCCTGCCCCCTCACTTCCTGTTAGGTTAGGCCAGTAGGAAGCACCAGCCAGGGGGTGGGGCAGGAGAGAAGGTTGCAGTATTTCTTGCTCACTCCTTCTTCTCTTGTGCCCATCATGATTTCTCCATGACCACATCCATGGGCAAATGGCCTCTCCTCCTTGGCTCTTGCTCTGCTACCTCCATCAGGCTGAGGGAAAGTTAAAATTTCCGTGTCACCACAGGGATTACAACTGAGATGGAAAAAAAAATGTACAAAATGATGTAAAAATAAACTGTTATAAAAAAAAATTTCCGTGCCACTAACTTCTCATTTCCTTAGACTTGTTCACACATCTGCAAGGAGGTCCCTCGGAACCTCTTAAATGGACCACCTGGGGGATGATTCTCTTTCTTACCAGAATCCCAACTGCTACCACAACTTTGATGAAGACAGTGTGGTATACTTTGCTAATACATTCAAAAGTTTACATTAGCATAATGGAAAAATATACCCATTTAAAAAATACAGATCAGACCAATGAGATAAATCCATGAATCATCTAGTGATAATCTGCAGAAAAATACTACTGCATACTGAACATCAACTTGAAGACAGCACATAAGGAAAACTTCTTAGGGGCCCAGAGGAATAGGGAATTTTTTTAAATTCCAGTTTTATTGACATATAATTTAAATATCATACAATTCACCTTTCTGAAGTTTGCAGTTCAGTGGTTTAATCCCTTCATATTTATCTTTAAAATTGCTATTTGTTTTTGTAGTTGCCCCCCCAACTTATTTTTGTGGTTTCAGTTTTATTCACACACAGCCATCTTCTTTGGTGGATATAGCGTAATATTTTGCTTTCCTTTTTTTTTGACAATATGTTAAAGTTATTTCCTTAGTGATTGTCCTGAGGGTTGCAATCCTAGTGTGGATTAATATTGTATTAATTTTAGTAGCATATAAAGACTTTGCTCCTATATAACTGTCCCAACACCCTCTTTTGTGCTATTATTGTCATGTGAATTACATTTTAACATCATTCTATCAATACAGTTTTATAGCTATGCCTTAGGTAATTATCTTTTTTTTTTTTTAGATTTATTTATTTATCCATACAGAACAGGGGTACAGGCCAGAGGTGCAGAAGTGGTGAGAGGATTCACCAGAGACAGAGTGGAGAGCAGAGCAGGCCAACTGATGAAGTATACGCTGCTGAGGGGAGCAGCAAGTGAGATAGGAGAGGTCTGCTGTGCCATGTGGGTCACCTC